TTTAATACCTTTCTGAGAATGTTAATCAAAGCTGAGCGTAGAGGCGTCTTAAAGTGAATGTATTTGTTTCAAAATACCACAAGAGGGCGCTAGAGACCTGGACGACAGTCAAAGGTTGGTCCGCTTGAATGGATGTTGAATTATCGAAGGGGAGATCAAGGACTGATATCATGACAGCATCCAAGCATGAGCGCGTTTTGTGATGGTTGGAAGAGAGTCATTTGAATATCTTACTTTAGAACTACATAAAATATACCAAATTCCTGTGAAATGTTGGAGTCGAATCAATGTGTACTGCTGTCTGAGAACTTCCCCTCTTGTCTTCCTCCCGCTGAAACATAGAAGACCCACAAAGCAGAATGATAAACCATGACCTGGCATACTGTTGATGCCAGACTAGGGCAACATTGCATCTAGTATTGCTGTCTTGCAAAGGGCCCATGAAGTTGATAATGCAAGAATTCAAGATTACCTCTTACAGGCACTGTTGAAATGCTCTCACACACACACCTGTGATCCCCCACGCATCACTTACACACTCCCGAAAAACATTCAATTCCATTCATCCATTCCAGCCTCCCCAACGAACCCAACAACAAAAAAGACAATCATAAGTTAGAAAGAAACGTAGTTTGAAACACTTTGTCCTCCTCCAAACAACTCCAGACTCCTATACAGCAATATAATTTGGAGCAGTTCACAATAAATGTTTATCTAACAACATGACAGAAACATTAGAGGGAAAAAAAACTATTCTCTTTTTCTTTGCCGACCAGAACTTGTTCGTTAATTAACTATGTAGTCGGAGCTAATTTGGCACGCTCGGACGTGCTTACTTTGAAAGTGCCCAACAAATCGTTTTCTGGGTGAGAAGCAGTTACATTGTTGGGTGATTGACTTATCCTCACAATGTCCATTTTTTTCATGAAAAGACCGCCTAATAAATGAATTTTTCATCACGTGACAATCGGCATCCTCTGCCACCGATTTAGCACATTGTGAGACTATCTACCGCAACCAGTCGGCGGACGGAAAAAAAAAGCCAACTTCACCGTATTCCTTTGTGAAGGCCAAATTTGGTGAATTTGAAATCTGATCGGTTAAGAAAAAAACATCAATTGCTAATACTGTGAATATGTATTCAAGCAAACGGAGGCTTCAAATTTATGTTTTAAATTTCATTTTCACTTCACAGGGTCTTTAAAGTCTTCCTACTTTGAAAACCAAACTCTAGGAGAAAAAAAAAACCCTATTCAAAACTGTAACCTTGTATAAAACCCTACTTCAAAACTCCTACTTTGAAACCCTAAACCTAATTTACAACGATAACCCTAATTTGAAACTCTATTTTGAAACCCTAACCGGAGCTAATAGCCTGCTTTGAAATTCTAACCTGGGGTTGAAAACCTATTTTGAAACCCTAAGCCCAGTTTAAACCCTACTTTAAAATCCCACCCCTAGTTTAAAACCCTACTTGTTTACCCCAACCCGAGCTAATACCCTACTTTGAATTCCTGACCCTTGTTTAAAATTTTACTTTGAAACCCTAACTCTAGTTTGAACCCCTACATTGAAACACCAAACCTAGTTTGAAACCGTACTTTGTAACCTTAACCCTAGTTTTAAACCCTACTTTGAATCCCTACTTTGTATGCCGAACACTAATTCAAAACCCTACTTTGAAGCAGCAGCAATTGACACAAATCTAAAGACATGCACGTGTGAAGGGTATGTCCATAGTACCCTACACAGAGGGTATTGGATTTTTTTTCCATGCCGTTTTTTCCCCCCTCATCTTGAGTAGCAGTTCCCTGTGCTTGCCGTGGGAGGAAGGGAGTGTTAAAAAGAGACGGTACACTCTGAGGCTGCTGATTCAGCCGGGGCCTCTGCATTCATACATCTGCACTGCAGTGCTGCTCCCTCTGCTTAACCCCCTGATGCCTTCCCCGCAGTCCCTCCTTAGCACTCAGCCATTTTGGTGGCTGGAACGCTGTTATCATATGGCATTGCACTGTGTCAAGAGTGTACACGTTAACATGTGGTGAACCGGCAGCTGGTTTTACAGTTGTACCTTGACTTTCAAGTTTAATACTTACGTTAGCTAACTTGAAGCTTAAATCAAATTTCTCTTGTATCAATTCAATTTCCTTATTGAAATCACTGAAATGCAAATCATAACTGCGCCTCATTGTATAAAAACCGACTGAAACATGTAAAGAAATTAAATGGTTAAATTGGTTATTGCACAGAAAGTTACAACGGTTTTTGTGTTTCCCCAATTCGTGCAAATTGAGTTGCGAAATTCGATTTGACGCCCTAACTCTACACTGAGAATATAAGACTGCAAGTGTTTCGAGAAGCTTGCTTGCGTATTACTCTGTTCTATGTATATCAGGGGTGCCCAATCTTTGTTGCTCGCTATTTTTAGAGCAATCAACCTGCGCGATCGCGACGGACCCGAACGCAGAGACACACACACACACACACACACACACACGCACACGCACACGTTCACGCGCGGAAACGCACGCACGTACAAATGCCACAATGAGCACCAACTATAGCATCCCAACATGAACGAAATCGAAAAATAAAGTAGATACATCAGTCTGTGAAAATGAAATTACTGCCTACCTTGGTAGAGACTTGACGCGGAGGCATGGGACACAGTTTTGCAGCGTTAACTGCATGAACAGCACGATCGTAGCTCACGTTACCGTTTTAAAAATGCTTCTCCTGGCGCTCAATTCCCATTCTTTACCAGTGCCACCGGTGAATGGCAAATGAAACAAACTTTGGATGAGAAAAATCAAATCAAATAAAACAAGACATCGAAACAGGTCTGATCGCAAGCTTCAATTGCAGACTTCTGACCGCTAACAACTTCCGGTATTGCAAGTCACGCGCCACCGTCGGTGAAAGGTGACCTGCTTTTTTTTAATTTTATTTTTTTTAAATACCTTGTTTTTCATGAAAGTGAAACTGATAGGATGCTTAGGGTGCAACATATAAATATATAATATTAATAACACGGACACAGACACACAAATAATTTTTTTCTCCTCCGACACCTCTTGCGATCGACTTGGGACCAGTCTGCGAGCCCCCTGATGTACAGTATATGAACACAACATCTTTAAAAACGTTCAAAGCATTCCTTAAAAGAGGAAATTTAAAAAATGAAGCTATAGGGGGGGCAAACCCTTTGAAGTACATAGGAAGCTCACGTTGGGAAACTGTTAATTCCTGTGACAATCCTGTCGCCCCGCCCCTCTGTTCTGGGTCAACCAATCAGTGGTAGACGATACCTGGTGTAATACTGCAGTTCCCTGTAGATGTTATTGGTGGTGATTGCTAAAGATTCATTAAAAAAAAAAAGCTGGCATACAATAAATGTTACACAGTGTCACTTAGAAGCAGCAAGAAATCATCCACATTGGTCCAGGCAAACTGCTCGTCACCCCATTAAAAACGACACTAGTCACAAGGCTAACTGGAAGGCTGCTTTATTGTTTGGAAATAGATTCGTGCTGAAATGAAGACATTTTTCACTGATTCGAACTGAATTGTCTCGTGGTTGTGCAACATGTTCCTCTCTCTGGCTGCATTAGTGGCAAGAGAGAATGACATTCAAAAGTTGTCCCCCCGCCAACACTACCCGCACCCAGTCAGCCTATTTTCAGCAAAAAAAAAAACAAAGCTTATCCCAGTCATGCTTAATCAAAACAATGGCCCCATATAGTGACGATGCAACTTTGACAGAAACCTGCAAAACAGAAAGAAAGCTTTTACCGGCCCAAAATCTTGTAAACTGAACATAGGGGACAACGATCAACAGAGAGTGAGTGAGAGAGAGAGAGAGAGAGAGAGAGACAGAGAGAGAGAGAATTTGTCATTTTATATGATTCTACAATATGAAGTTAGTCCAGACAATCTAACGTACACGGTGAGTTAGCAATATACCAGTTCATTTTGGACTGAATACATTGCTACTATCATGCTCTGTTTTGAATCCCTCCAGTGGGGATTTCAAACTCCGTGTTGCCGACTTCAAAGAGAGACTAAATAGGAAGCTAAAAAGGCACGTGCCGTTTAGGGATATTGCACCAGAAAGAAAAACACAGGCAACTGAGACGACCAACCCTGGGGTCTTTACACATATCGCAATGGAGGTGCTATCAGTGTGTGATAAACATGGCGGAGGGTGACAGTTGTATTGCGCCAACGCTTCACACACAAGTGAGGGTCATACTTGAAAACAGCGTTATGAATGCGTGCGAGCACAATGAAAATAAGGGGCAAAACATTGTCGCAAACGTACAAAACTGTATGCTGGTTAGTGCAATCCTCCCACCAAGCCAGGCTCCCCGATTCTCAGCAAGCAGCCAGTGCAACACCATGCATTACGCGCTGGCACCTTTGGGTGCTGGTTGGGCCACAGTTTTTGGTTATTGAAGGACGATACACACGAAGAAAGCTGCATGGTAAATTGTGGTTTCACACCCTTGCAAAGAGTGGACAGGCGAGTTGCATCACAAACATTGTTCTAATATACATACAGTGTGTGTGTATGTGTGCGTGTGTGTGTGTGTGTGTGTGTGTGTGTGTGTGTGTGTATATATATATATATATATATATATATATATATACACACACAATATAGCTCTGTATATGAAGGTATTGATTAGCAATATAGATTCTTTTCCATTAATCCCTTTTTTGTGTGAAAAGTGAATAAAAAAAGTCTACTCTGACAAACATGTCACAGCCTAACGAGTGTGACGGGTCAGAAGCTGGGAGCCATTCTATTTATGCTTATTTATATTTACGTGTAAGATTAATAGTTGTCGTGGTTTGTTTGTTTGTTTGTTTGTTTTTTACGTAGTCCAGTATTTACAAAAAAAAACCCTACGCATGCCATCAAAATAAATGCATTAGGTTCTCATGAATGTTCATTTTTCTGCTTTCGAACAAAGTTTATACTTTTTTTTTCTTCTTTCAAATGAATCCACTTTTGAGAATGGAGTACCTCTTACATACACGATGAGGGTAGAGAGAATTTTTATGCTTATCAGTCATGGTTTTATTAGGTCAACACCCACATTGATTTTGGAGCGCACATGCAGCAAGTGGACCATTTGCAGGACTTGGGAACACATGGGAATGGGGGGGTTTATCCATCCATAAACAGGAAGTGACATCACTGTACAGCGCTTAAGCTCTGCTGCGGCATGTGTGCTCGCACCGTGAGATAACGTCCAGTGCTCTGATAATTATTTGATATTGAGTGCGGCGCGGATAGGGTCAGAGCGTGTGTAAAATCGTACAAATCTGCAACATCGCCTCCCAGTGATTCCTGTGTGTACGTACTACTGGGGTGAATCTGGTTATTTTTGTTTTCCAGACATGAATGAAGAATTGAATTGAATCCACAATGACGTCCTCCTAAATGCAATCCACTATGAATTTAACCAGCGCCTCTGCAAGCGAGAGCAAAAAAAAAAAAAAAAAAAGGGTTCTTTTTCACTGAGATGCTTCTAGCCCTATAATTCTACGCGTCATAAGCAGGAAGTCCTACAACAAAATGGACCATGACTCCTATTGAAACAAGGCTGCCGGTTTCCCATCATCATCATCATCCCAGCATTAAAACCAAAGGCGTAAAATGTGATTTAATAAATGCAGCCGTCACATTCACTTGCATTGTGTAGCAGAGCTCGAGTATAATATCTCCTGAGAAAAAAGGGGAGGATTTTTTTTTTCAAGCATTGCATACAATTCTCGGGTCTCTGTTTAGAGAAAAATGAAACAGTGTCATCAAAAATGAATGGACATTTAGTCATAAACGCAAACCCTCTTCACCGGTGAAGAACAAACAAGGCGGATCTCTTTGGCTTCGCCACACACTCCAATGGTCGCCTTTCTCGTGACTCAATTTATATCGGACAAACATGTTTCCCTCTTCTGAAATGAGGCTTATAAAAACGAGAAAACAAGGGGAAGAACGCACACACGCACACACACTCGCGTGAATAAGCTTCAGATCTCCTCTCAGCCCTTTCGGAGAGGAAATGCATCACCAATAAAAGAAAAAAAAAAAAGGCCAAACTTGTAAAATCCCTACTGACCACTTATAAACAATAAAAGCAAATGGAGCGTTACACAGGTGCATAGAAACGTTAAATATAAGCTTCTGATTTTCTGACATCGCGTCCTTCATCGCTCTTTGCACATCTTCGAGAGCAGCAAATAAGTATTCACACTACAACTGCGATCCACTAGCGCGCGTGTTTTAATGTACCAGCATTTTCCAGTCTATTTATAGAGGCAACAGTTGTGATGTCTTGAGTGATGAGACAAGGTTTCCGTTTCGGATGATCGACCCTCGTATCGCGCCACTGTAGTGTTAGTGTCTTGTGGACCGTGAAAAGTTCATGCAAGAGTTCTGGTCAAAAAACATGCCATCATGCAAATCATTTCTATGCATCGAACAAGCACAATTACCTATGTAGTTGTTTTGGAAATTGTTCTGAGTAAATGTACGTAAGCCCTTGGCCTGAGTTCACCCCCGTAATAGACAGACCCTGAACAAATTGGTGTGAAAGTCCATGTTCCAAACGAAAAAAAAAAAAAAATCGGACGTGGGTATAAATAATGGGAGTTAAGTAGCATGGGCAAAACGATAAATAGTGTTCCTTTTATATTGGTTTGCATTTTTACTGCTCACATGAACAATTTCTAGCTTGAACAAAAGGAAAATACTCCTGATGCGCTCGCCGATTTGTGTCTTTCACGCAACCGCAGTTTGCTCTGAGAGACATTCCAGTCCTTGCGCAGTGCAACTCTGGCAAGAGTTCCTCATCGTTCTGTCCTTCGTTTGGAGCTCCTCGTCTCCTCTGTGGACGGGACTCATCGAGATACAATGACGTCCCAGCTGATTAGGAGAGGAGTTCAAGAGCCTTCAAAGCTGTCAACGGTGTGAGCGCTCCCCTCAGAAGCCTGCAACTAAACAACGGATTCTTTTCTGTCTTGCAAATGAAATAATCTGTACATCCGTGCGCGTGTGATTTTCCTCGTGTTATAATTTGTGGTGTTATTTGCGTGATTATTACTATCCCATCGCCTTAACATTTGGATTCCCTGACGTCCTTTAGGTTTCTTCCTCTCTCGTTCCTCCCTCCCTTGCCCTCGTTGTCGTCGTCCTTCTCCTTGTCGGGTTTGGTGACGCTATCGTACGAGGGCAGGGAGGCGGTGGAGGGCGTGGCTTCCTTCTCTTGTTCCTGATTGTTGCCGCCGTTCTCCACTCTGTTGTTGGTTGGGATGCGCTTGCAAACGAAACCCCTCCTCGCCAAGTAGGCGCGATAGGCCCTCTGGATGATTCGGGCGGACACGTCCTCCTGCTTGCGCCTCAGAGTGGTGGTGATGGGCTCGTAAGAGACCTTGGAGGGATTGGCCGCCACAAATCGCTCCTCCATTTGCTGCCTCAACATGTCCAACTCACCGCTGTCGCCCAGCACGCGTTTGGTGAAGGCAAAGAGGATGTCCAGGCAGTGTATGCGGTCCCCGCTCACCATTGGCATGTCCATAGCGATGAGTTCAATGGTGTTGGGCTTGGGGACTCGCAGCGGGTGTTCAAGTGCGTCCGCAAAGTCGGAAAGCTTGGCGTAAGTGATGAACTGGGAGGCAGTGGGGTCAAACTTCTCCCAAATTTCATAGAAGGTCTCAAAGTCATCCTCGCTGAGCGGGTCAGCGCTCTCCTCCGTGGCCACGCTGAAGTTCTCCAGAATGATGGCGATGTACATGTTGACCACGATGAGGAAAGAAATGATGATGTACATGACAAAGAAGAAGATGCCCACGGATGGGTTGCCGCAGTCTCCAGTTGAAGGAGTGCCAGAATTCTCCAGCAAGGGGTCGCAGTCCGGAGGGTAGTTAAGAATGGGCAACAGCAGGCCGTCCCAGCCAGCTGACGTGGTAATCATAAACAAGATGATCATGCTGTTGCCGAAGGTCTCAAAGTTGTACATGTCGTCGATCCCGGCCCCGTGTTTTACGTAGCCGAAGTTGGACATGCCGAAGATGGAGAAAATGAACATGACCAGGAAAAGCAGCAGGCCGATGTTAAACAAGGCCGGGAGTGACATCATCAGGGCGAAGAGAAGCGTTCGGATGCCTTTGGCGCCCTTAATGAGGCGCAGGATTCGCCCGATACGAGCCAATCGGATCACCCTGAATAGTGTTGGCGACACAAAGTACTTCTCGATCAAGTCGGCGAGGAACATTCCTACAGGTGAAGGGACCAAAAATAGACAGGCATAATATTACGTCACTAAAAACAGCACTTGAACTTCCTTGAACTGTAAATTCCCAATGACCCCCCTGTGACGTTTCCTAGCAACCGCTGGTTTGTGATTGGATAGCTATAAACAAGATAGAGCAGGGGTAGGGAACTCTGGTTCCTCGAGAGCCATATCCTGCCTGTTTTAGATCCCTCCCTTCTCCAACACACCTGGTTCAATTGTTCATGATGGTTTTGGGACTCTCCAGAGCTTGCTGATGAACTGATCCTTTGAATCAGGTGTGTTGTAGGGAGGGATCTAAAACAGGATTTGGCTCTCGAGGAACCGGAGTTCCCTATCCCTGATATAGAGCATGTATTCTCCATTGACAAGAATGCTAAATATTTGTAACCAATTTAATGCCATTTGAGATTCAGCTTAATCTGTTCATTGGTGTCATCAGGAGAATGATCAAAAGTCTTCACATTGACCCCTGTGGTACACCATACCGTATGTTGTCCTTTTAAATGAACTGTAATACTTTTGTGAATACTGTAGTTCCTCATATAGTGGCTGGGGGTGTTTATTCAGTCAACTGCAGGGAAGAAGGGTAGGGGATTATTAACGCTATGAAATAATAATTAATCCACTCTCTAATCTATTTATCCTGCTAAGGATCAAAACGAGCTGGAGGTTGACGGTTCTGTTGAAATCAAAAGGAGACGAGAGAAAAGAAAGACCTCAAGTCTATTTGACAAATTCCAATCGAAATACTTCACACGTGCACAACAACTCTTGTGAATACTTGCCCACGATGGAGAGGATGACAACCACAACGTCAAAGATGTTCCAGCCGTTGGTAAAGTAGTAGTGACGCAGCGCAAAGAGCTTCAGTAAAAACTCGCCGGTGAAGACAACGATGAAGATGAAGTTGACCCAGTAAAGCACATACTCGGTCTCTTTTGACTGATCGTCTGTCTCCACCATCATGGTGACCATGTTGAGGCAGATGAGGATCATGATGGAGATGTCAAACACTTGCTGGGTCACAAAGTCAAAAACCATTCCTTGGATTTTGTTCTGAAACCAAAAAAAAAGTTTAAAAGCAATTTTAGCAGAAAATGCACTTGCAAAGACTTGCTTTTATTATTGATGGATTGGTTTTTTACCTGTGGTCTGGGTATAGGCTTTTGTGGTTTTTTTGAGCCGAGTTTCTTCATGGCATTGTAGTATTTCTTCTGTTCTTCCGTCATGAATATATCCTGACCGCCAAAGTAAAGGGGCAAAAACAATGCGGTTACAATCGTGAAGTAGACAAGAAGGTGCACAAGCGAGGAAAATTCAACTTATCTTTTTCTTTTGCTGGTTGAAGTTATCGATGATGACACCAATGAAGAGGTTTAGGGTGAAGAATGAACCAAAGATAATAAAGATGACAAAGTAGATGTACATGTATAAGTTGTCCTCATACAGCGGTTGATCCTCCACCTAGAAAGTTGCAAAAGGGAACATGAATCATTGGAAAGGTTTTTAAAATTAACGAAACCTGACAAAAGAAATCAAACTAAAATTACAAGACATTTTCGTAAATGGAATCATGTAAAAGCAAGAGTGCTTAAAAAAACACAAACTAAAACGAATTATAATTATAGCAAAAATGTCCTTTGTTTTCGACTTTGTCAACTACTGTAATTTCATAGATGAACATTCATGGTTTATTTTAAAAATTTTTATTTCAGTATGACCGCATGGCCATCCAGAAGAAGGAAGGCCATTTGGGAATTGGAGTTTACATTATTATCCGATAGCTTTTATTTAATTTTATCTTGGATTTGACACATACTCCATTTCTATATGAAAAACCAAAACAAAACTAATACTAAAACTAATTTAAAAAAAAAACAAAGCTAAAGGAGCATTAAAAAAGTGAAAAAAAAACCTAACAAACCCACTCTAAAAAAAAAAAAAAGTCAAAACTAAATCAAAAGTAACGACAATGACAAAATCCTAAAGTGTTACAAACCAGCGAACAGCCCTACCTTTCTCGAATCTATTGCCGCATACATAATGTCCATCCACCCTTTGAATGTTGCCTGCAAGGTTGAGACGTAGCATGTGAGAAAACACTTTGGCGCCGGGAGAGACAACGCGTCGAAAGCACCCCACTCACCACTTGCAGGAGGGCCAGGTAGCCCGCCCCCACATTGTCAAAGTTGATCTTGACATTTTTCCACCTGACTTCAGAGTGGTTGTCGTTCATGAGCGCAAAACACTGCGTTCGGTTGTTCACCTCGTTGGGATGGAACATTTCCTCTTGCGTGTCATTGTAGCAGAAGTAGTACTTCCCAGCAAAGAGGTTCACGCCCATGATGCTGAAGATCAGCCAGAAGATGAGACACACCAGGAGCACGTTCATAATGGATGGAATGGCCCCAACCAAGGCGTTCACCACCACCTGAGGAGAAGAAGTGAGGACACGCTCAAATCACGTGCGTTTTGCGCTGACCAACTCACACAAACGCTGAGGACGTCAACACACGTATAGATTGAAATGCACACAAGGCAAAATGTTTGCAGTGGTCTCTCGAAATAACGGGCAAGGTTATTTCTTGGCAATTTCCTTTTATATGTATATAAGTAATAAGTAATGACTTCCTAAATTGTCCGCCATGATTTATTTCATTGGCCAATGAATTATTTCATTGTCAGGTCGAATTCCAGGTTGCTGCAACTCGGAATTTTTACCCAAACAAATCAGACGAAGGAGGTCGTTTCCTTTATGATCCGATTTATAGTTTTCCACATATGTAGCCTGTCCAGTGGTTGGTACTGTATCGATTTTTGAACACACGTAATCAGATGTCTGTATTGAAATCTAGCGTTTCACCTCTTTGACATGCAACTAGCTAAATCCAAACAAAATTTTGCGGTTCATGCTCAGATTGCACTCAAAAATATTTGTTGGTCTTGATAAAAAAAAAAAAAAAATTAAAAAAAATTTGCAGGAGCTACAGCAATTTGTAGGTAACATGAAAACCTTTAATCCAGTGTATAAACATTGTTAGAAGTTGTACAAAATCAATTAAAGCAATTCGCATAATCAAGAGACGACTCGAATGTGCATTTTAATCGACACAGGCTCTGTGATTACACAACCAAAGAGCATTAGGGCCACACACACACACACACACACACACACACACACACACACACACACACACACACACACACACACAAAGTATAATACTATGAGAAGTAAGTTGTCGTACTATCAAAATAAAGTGCTAATTTGAGAAAAACAAAATTGAAATATGATGACAAAAAATGTCATTTTTTCTTACGTCATAAAGAGAAGGAAAATTCTAAATTTTCATGCATTAAATCAGAGATCTGTAGCACCGTATTGGTTAAAAGTGGTAGAAATATAGGATTTTAATATTTTAACAATAGAGATGCTAGCTTAAAGTAAAATATAGCATATTTTACTTTTTGCTATCTGTGTCCCTTGTATTACGTCTCCTTAAATCTGACCTTAATTATACTGTAAGTAAAGCCAGGGTTTTCTGTTGTAGCTAGTTTATGCCCAATTCACCGGACACCAGACTTTATCCTGGTAACAACTTTATTCTCATAATTTTCCTTTTGGGTGTTGACCTAATACTCCTTGAAAAAGAAAGCTAAAATATGAAAAACAAAAACAACAAAAACTCGGGAGGCACACACAGGAACGCTAAGAGCTTGCCAAACACGACACGATGCATCCGTATGAATAGCCATGAGATGGATGCCGAGCAAGGATGAACGGGACAGGGGAGCATATGCAACCAGAAGTTTGGTGGTCTTCCAGTGTGGCGATAACCAAAGCCAAACTGCCATTAAGATCAGTGAACAGCACATTTGGTGACGGAGCGAACAGGCAGAAGCTTCTGAGCCTAACACATTTGTTTCCCCTTTGGCCCCAACAACAATTGTGAGAAGCCCCACCCGCCCCCTCTTTCATCACTGAATCAGGCTCAGAACATCTATCAAAAGATTTCGCTGGAAACTGTCATGTATTATTTAGGGGAGCAGCAACCAAGTTCATGCACAAGCCAGTTTGGAGTTTCTTTTGATCATATAGGATGTTTATAGAAGTAGTTTGACCATCGGAGATGATCTGCGTCCATGCAAAAACAAAAAAAAAAAAAGGTTTACAATTTGCTCCATGTCATTTTCTAGCCTTTTCTTCCATCGGCATGCAGAAGCACAAGCCGCCTGGTATCTTGGGCCTTACCCTCATCCCTTCAAAACGTGACAGGGCCCTGAGGGGTCGCAAGGCCCTCAGTGTCCTGAGTGACTTAATTGGGCCAAGATCGGAGAAGCCCAAGGCATTAGCTATAAGGCTGACTATTGACACCTACACAGATAGGGACAGACAGGGGGACAGAGCAGAGGAAGAGAGGACCCACATGGTTAGAGGGGACAGAGCGAGAAGGTCGGGCCCTACTCGGACTGGAATTGTCAAAACATCAATCGACACACATGAACTGCAGCTTCTGTGTAGATACACCTATGTAACTTTTGCTCAATTAATTGTATCAAACCCGAGCTTTCGTCTGTTTTTTTTTTTTGGGGGGGGGGGTAGTTTGGCAAGCGAGTCGAGCGACGACCAGCTCGATGGCACACCTGGAAAGAAACTTGTGGTTGGCGCAAGTGAGAGGGAGAAAAGATAAAAAGAGTCCAACCAAGGGAGAAAATAATCGGAGGAGGGATGTTCTCACAGACACTCAACCAATAGGACACGATAACATACAGACAGGTACAAAACAATACGGTTTCAATACCAGAGGACGTCTCACTTAAAAAGGACAAAGAGAAGAATGCGGAAGATTGAGGAGTTTCGGGGTGGGCACAGAAGAACCTGTGAGAGTCCCAGCACAGCAACACAAGCCTTACCGTGGACCCTCTGTCACGCTTTAACTTAAAGTGCATACGGGCGAGGCACCTGCTGTGAGAGACAAGACATTAGAGCAGAGAGTTGCATGAAATGTGAAGAACTGTTCATGTGACAGCACAATTTGGAATGACTTGGTATTTGGGAGACTCAAAAAAGGCTTCGAAATATGGTTGAAACCACACTTGTTCCACAAGGCCTTCGATTTTGAACTCCCTAGCTCCATTAAAAAAAATAAAAAAGAAGAAACGATTGAACGTTGGCAATCCTAAAACAGAGTAACAGAGAGAAAGTCAAATTAAGTTAAAAACTCTAAAGGTTAGAGTGCATTTAAAGTTCACTCTGAGATTTCAGCCAAAGACGAAAATCCCTAACTTGTTGTGAGTAGTGAATACATTATGTATGAATCCCCACAACAAGGCAAAAAAAAAAAAAAAATCCTGCTGCAACACGCGCCATCAACATGATGGAAAGGTCGTGACGATGCATATTTCAAAATACAACATTCAGTAGTCCGAAGCTTAAGTCAAGGAATAGCGCACTAAAAAGATGACAGTGGGCAATACTGCCTACATTGTTGATTTCTGCAACTCGCACACAAATGTACTTACATCCACAATGAAGAAGTCCAACCAGCACCAGGCGTTGGTGAAGTACTTGACAAAGCCGTAAGCCACCCACTTCAGCAACATCTCCAAAATGAAAATGTAGGTGAAAACGCGATCGGCGTACTCCAGAATAATACGGATGGTCTTCCTCTGCTCAATGTAGACGTCCTCAAAGGCCTACGAAAGCAGTCGACAAGTTTTACATATGCCGCATGGACTGTGATCTTTTTCGGCATTTCTACCCACATTCTATTCTCATGACCGTGTGTTAAGTAGTTGTTTGTATTTCTAAACTGTTACATTCATTTAAAACGGATAGTTTAGATCGTAGATAGTTTGTTAATATGGCCACGTTGCATTTGTTATGTATCATGGAGAAAGAGGAAGGAAGACCAACTTTGCACCATTTCTTTTGCATTGCAAGTGAATACTCGACAGCATTTAAGTGTTTTCATTTGGCCACAGGCCTCCTCCGGAAAGTTGCGACGCGAAACTGGATTTTGTCGTATTAAAGCATTAAGGCGGCTGTGTGGCTGTCCATTAGCAACAATCAGAATGTATAAGAAGCAGCTGTCAAGCAAAAGCAGGAGTTGGTCTTCCTTGTACATCTCATAGAAAGGATGATTTGCCTTTAACCCTTTCAGGGGTTACTAAAGTGGACATCTCATCATGTTATCAGGTTACAGGGTGCATGAAAGGGTTTATCAAAGGAGCGCAACAGACCCTGCCCAACTGGTGCATTCCCTTAAATAAAATTTATTTGAAGGGGCAGTTTGCAGTTCCCCCCCACCCCCAAAAAAAAAAATAAAAATCACTAGTCCGTCTACTCTGGACCCATATTTTACCTTCAATTTAATTTTTAAGAAACCGCTATGCCTTCAGAAGAACATGCAAAGAGGGACAGAACATTTCTGCTCTTCAGGTAAGTTTTTTTTTTTTTTGGTTGCCTCAATTAGATTTTTAATTGATTTCACGTTCCGGAAAATAAAACTTCAAAGTACGGTCATAACATTTCGTGTTGTAGTAACACTTTCATATCAATAAGTCAAGCTATCAAGATCAAGTAGGCTTGTTTACAGCGCTAACGCTAGCTTAGTATTTCTAGCGCTGTTATTTCATTGGACAGCATTTTCTGTGACGACTATTTACAATTTTCAATCCCACGCCATCATGAACAACAATGCAGGAAACTGCAGACTCCCCCTGATGTGATTTTTAAGCGTAACAAACAGATAGCATTAGTAGCTTACCAGAGCTCCACTGCTAAGTAAGATCATGAAGATGATGAGTGTTTCAAACCAGTTGTGTTCCACAATCAGATAGCAGGTCTTCCTCAGGAACCACCAGTGCTTCCCCCAGCCGTGAGTGATGGGAACATCACAGCACTTGTATTTTGCCACACATTCTGGATGACAAATCGGGAGGCGAACCGTTCAATGTGTGTCACTGAAATGGCCAATCAATCTTCCCCGACGGTGTTTATACCACATACCGTCTGTCCAGCAGGCCTCCGGGTCAAGGTACTCCTCCACAACCTCCACGACTGCCACCTCCTCCACGTCAGGCTTAATGTCTATTGTGCTGCCCTCAGATGAACTGGTGTCATCCAGCTAGGAGAAAGGCCCAAACACAGACACTTACGCGGGTGAGGAGTGCAGTCATTTTAAATAAGGCCAATATGTGTTTGGATGAATCACTTGATTTATTGCTACTATGCTCTAAGTGTTGTAGTATTGCATACTGCGCAGTGATCAAAACTCGCCGTGACGCTCTACTTCTTAGCGTAGAATCAAAAGGAAGCAATTAGACGAATGCTTTAATACTGTTATTGTGCTGTACAGTGAAACTCCTCTACAACGAAACCCACATAGGCGAAAATACCCCCGAGTGTGAAAAAAATCTTCATGCATTAACACCACTATCACTCTCCTGCCCCCCATACAACGAAAAAAAAACCCTGTTGCGATATACGAAATATTTTTCTCTGCTCTTGCCTCACGAAGAGATTCACTACAACGAAGTCTAATCCAACAGCGACCTCTACTGCTTCGTTCGGAAACAGCAAGAGCAACCACCATACTGGTTTACACGTGCGCAGTAGTCCAGGAAGTATTTGTTATTGTTAGTTTCAGACGCAGCAAGAACGTTGCATTGCTAAAATGGCTACAAAACGGACCTTTGGATGTCAAGCAGCTAAGACAAGAAGAGCTCTGACGCTGGAAGAGGGGGTAAAAGTGATCAAAATGAAAGACGGAGGAAGCAAAATAAAAGACATTATCCAAGAAATTTATGTAAGTGAAAGTGAATGCTGATTGTAAATTTCGCAATTTCTTTCCCTTTTGTTCTTTCTACACTGACTATGTGAAGTGTCAAATAAGTTTATGCTTATACTTATGCACTATTGGAATAAAATTAAAGAGTACACATACGTGTGTGTGTGTGTGTGTGTGTGTGTGTGTGTGTGTGTGTGTGTGTGTTTACATCTGATATCAAATTTGCTTTAGTGAAAAACCCCCTGTTGTGAAAAATTTCTTGCTGCAAACATGATTTCGCTGTAGAGGAGTTTCACTGTATTCATAAATATCCAGCAGAGATGAACAGATTTTTTTGTTTGAACGAGTTGAAGGCACTGATAAAACACATACGTGTTCATTTTCTCTCTCACAATAAGTTGCTCTGATAATTGATCGAAATGAATTCAAAACCAGCACGCTACGAACTTAAAAGTCGACACGTTTGTGGACCTGCAAACGCAAAGCTAATTCAATTCATGGGCAAGTGACACTGCACTTTGTAATTTGAATTTGTCAGCAAAAAGCTGCTTCTGCGCTCGCTCTCATCTCGCTTGCTCTCCAAACATCCGGACAAGTCGTTGCTTTTCTGATTGGTTGGTGGTAGTTTTGTGTGGCGTCGCTTCCTGCAGTGGCTGGCTATGGTGCAGCGAGAGGCTCAGGGAACATAAACCTGATACATCCCCTGAGGGGGGGGTGACCGGGTAATATCTATTAAAAAAAAAAAAAAAAACTGAACACTAGTGTTGCCACCTTAAAAAAAATTACGATTGGAAAAGTATGTGGGAGTCCACTGTATACTTGACCTTGTGCTGTCCATTCTCACATTGGTGTGTCCTACTTACATCCTTACTGTTCTCCACATCTGATTCACTGCTGAAGTCCTCCGTGTTAAGGTTTTCAAAGTCCGACTCTCCGACGGCAATAGGAACACACACAGTCAGGTTGGGGTTGTGGATGAAGGACATGTAGTCTTCATCAATCATGTACTTTCCGACGCTGCTCCCGATGCCGCTGGTGGTACCGTTGCCATTTTTAGCAAAGTCCAGTTCACGGTTGATGTCCACCGAGTGGTTGGCTATGCAGTTAAGCTTTTTCTCATACAGTTCATCCAGAGGTTTTTGTTCATCCTCGACAGGCTGCAAGTCAGAGTGACAAAAAAAATTATTTGTTTCACATAACCTGCTGTCTACATTTTGTGGCTCAAATTATGGTGTTTTTTTATTTTTTATTAATTTTTTTTTGTAATTACTGATTGTACCTTTTCTGACATGATGCGTCAAAGCCAAAAGGTAAGCAGAGCTGCACTGGGTTATGTTAGATACAGAGGTTTGCATTTACTTCTTATTGCGGCACATTCTTGATAGTTGGGTGAAGGTGTCATGGCGGTGGTGAAGATTGAGGGGAGGGGGCTATTTGTCACTGGCAATTAGTCGGTTGCATGCACCACATACACAGATCCACATGACAAACGTAATTGGGTGTCGTGCTGCTATTGTGGAAGCTTTCATGCACTTGCTTTTTTTAGACTCCGGCTCAACAAGTTGCCCTCTCCTAGCTCTACTTCCCCTCGTCATGAAGTAAACTAAAGCCACATAGCATTGCTCTCGCAGTATAAGTACATTGGGAATAAAGTATGCTTTAATTCCTTAATCCTGAGGCTATTTTAAGAAAAGCATGTCCCGGGCATGTTACTCAAACATCTGGTAAATGTTAAATTCACATTGTTTTTCATTTAGCTTTAGCTCACAGTATCCACAGAATTTGTGTGTGTGTGTGTGTGTGTGTGTGTGTGTGTGTGTGTGTGTGTGTGTGTGTGTGTGTGTGTGTGTGTGTGTGTGTGTGAGAAGAACGTGAGCCACTTTTTTGTGTGAGTACATTTGTCCTCATAGTTAAAATGCCATTCAAAAAGAGTTTCATTTGAGCTGACCTCATTATTGAAACCTGATTGATGAATCTGCTGACTTTTATGGTACATACAGTATATCACAGTACAGTATATCATAAAGAGTTAGGGGAGGCAGGGTGGGATACATTTGAGCGCGCTACGTCTTTGCATACCTTCTTGAGCACCGTGGCAACCAAGAGACGCACGTGGGCCTTGATCCAGGCAATGCCTATCTTGATGCGAGCGACAGCGAGCTGGAGATTGTTGGGCTCGCCGTCATCATCTGTGGCGGCGAGGTTGTCCGCACTGAATGAGCTCAGCAACAGAGCCAGGAACAAGTTCAAAACCTATGAATGATTGAAACTTCAATAGGTTGCGGTCTTTCAAAAGCTTCGACAGGATGTCACTCGGAGAGCTTTTTTTTTTTTCCAACTTACCACCAAGTTCCCGATGACCATGACCATCATGAAGACTGTGAGGCACATTGTCTGTCCCGCCACCTCCATACAATCCCACATGGTCTCAATCCACTCCCCACACAACACTCTGAATACAATCAGGAAGGAGTGGAAGAAGTCATGCATGTGCCAGCGAGGCAGCTTACAGTCATCCGCGATCTTGCACACACAGTCTTTGTAGTTTTTGCCAAACAGCTGCATGCCCACCACGGCGAAGATGAAGACAATGATGGCCAGCACCAGGGTCAGATTACCCAGCGCCCCCACCGAATTACCAATGATCTTGATCAACATGTTGAGTGTGGGCCATGATTTGGCAAGTTTGAACACCCTCAACTGCGAGAGACACGGGAAAACAAAATTACTCCAATGTTTGGACAATCATGCCTGCCTGTATCCCTCATTGATCACATAGCTGCCTAATGTTCAGAAAAGGGGGGGACAGAAGAAGGCTTCCACTTACCAATCGGAAGGACCTGAGCACGGACAGACCCTCCACATCTTGGAGTCCCAGCTCCACTAAACTCAGAGTCACAATAAAACCATCAAAACAATTCCATCCTTCTTGAAAGTAGTAGTAGGGATCCATGGCGACCAGTTTGGCAAACATCTCCCCAGCAAAGATGCCTGTGAAAACCTGCAGACCCCCAGAGAAAATCAGATTGGTTTGAATGAAGAAAGTTATGCAAACAACAACAAGAATGCATACAACGTTAAGCGTTGGTCAAGATATCACTGCTGTACAAGGTGTGATGGAAAAGTTTCAGGATTGGTGTCACAAAAGTGATATCTAGAGTGTTCGCCATCAATGTGAACCAGTCGATGACACATCCATCTAGGGATAATGCAGCATTTGACAACTAGTGCCTGCTTCACCATGACAACACGCCCGCTCACAATGCCCTGCCGCGGTGAAGCAACCCAATCTAGAGCTGTGTGATTTATTTTTTCCCTCTTTGCCAAGCTCGAGAGGGTCATCAAGGAGACCTGTTTTGAAGATGTGGACAAGATCAAGAATGTCGCGACAAGGGAGCTGCTGAGGATCACGTAAGAAGTGCGTTCAATTACAGGGATTATTTCAAAACTTGTTATTTGTGTTTTGGATTTGAAATTGCTGAATATCTTTTCTTGGGATTTTTCTGACACACACCGTATTGATCTCTGAATACATTTTGGTTACCAGTAATCCCATTTCCACCAAGCAGAACAGTTTGGATTACCTCTGTATGGGTACACCATGCTCACACTCTCATTGTCAAACATTGTGAGCGCACTAAAATAACAATTCTATGTATTTTTAAAAAGTGATATGTGTTATGTTTCTGTTGTGTGACATGGGATTGTTAGATTCCCATTGACAAGGACCAGTGAAAAAATGTAATATTCATGCCAGGGCATTAGTTGATGGTGCACTATAGAAAAAATGATTTCATGAGATTCAGGTCAGAAAACACTTTTGTCACATAACTCACATTTGGCAGAATTTTATATCACAGCGCTTTGTTACAGCCGCACCTGTTGTGAAAGTACTTTATAAATAAAGATGCACTGTATTGTATCGTATAAATACAGAATCATGTGGTGAAGAGAAACACCCACTGAGTCATACTGCACCATCCTCCACCAGGCTGACCTAATTTCCTGCACTGACACTGAGTCAGGGCTATTGCCAAAAGAAGGCTGTTGCTATCTGACAGACAGACAGAAGTGGCCGTTTGCTACAGATTCAGCCAGTCAGACACAAGGTGCTTTTTCTCCCCTCTCATTATTTCAAGGCTGTAGACCGAGTGCTTGGTATGAGTGTATAACAAAGACATTCCAGCAGAAGTTGAGGTAAGCAAGACACAACGGAAATTGGAGCCTGAAATGAGTGGGGATGCGATGAGTTGGAGAGAATGCGGCCTGGCTACATTAAAACTGAGCTAAATCTTTAATGAGCCCCCATCAAAGCCCTATATACAGTATGAATGTGTGGTCTTAAGTGCACATATCAAATTGACGCATGCGCAAAAGGGGCAAACTTGCAATATTTCCGCTAACTCGGCAATGGGCCGATTAAGAAGTAATACGAAAATGCGTTTCTTCTCACCAGATTGCCTACGAAGAGGACGCCCTCAAAGTGTTCTGTCATTGGATAGTGCTCCATGGCCATGAAAAGGGTGTTGAGGACAATGCAGATGGTGATGGCCAAGTCAACAAATGGGTCCATGACAATCAAGTAGACTATATGCTTGATCTTCAGCCAGTGGGGATGGCACTCCCAGATCAGAAACGTGTTGGCGAATTTGTACCAACAGGGGGGGCACTTCCGCTGAGATTCTTCCAATTCTGCAAAATTACAAAGATGGAAGAAAAGTGCAAAAGTGACAGGTGGCATGAACTGGACACCTGAGGAGTAACTTTTTCTCGACAAAACCGACATTGGATGTTTGACTTCTAATTCTGGTTTTATGAGGCTACACTAGACCATGAATGTAGCACAACATAGGCAAGCCATGATATAAAATTGTTGATATACCCTCTAACAGAGTGTTGGTGACGACGCTCATCTGACTGTTGGCGCGGTCTTTTCCTTTGAAGGAGGAGTTGAGCTGGTCCACAGATACCATGAGAGAGCCAGAGTGCTTCTTCTTAATTTCCACGTCTGTGGTCTGTACTCAGAAAAAAAGACAAACGCGTCGACTTATGAATAAATACACTTTGACAGATAAGGATGTCCTTCTCTATCACAGAGCCACCAAAGCTATGTTTCGACACGAACTGATTATAATGAAACTAATTTAAGTTTGTGTATCATCTTCGTTATTTGTTGGCACGATTACATAAAGTGTCAAAGTGGAGCATTTCCTTTTAGTTAGCGATTTTTACACTCAACTTGGCCTGCGCATCCAAATGAAAGGAACATTTCTAAGTGATCTAAACAAGCTAGTGCTTCATGTTTTACACTCTAAAGCAATGAGGGGCAGCACAATGCCAGGAAAAGTCGCAAAAAAGAAAAAAAATAATAACTTTCCTTTTTTTAGATTTCAAAGCATTGGGTCATAACTACAAGAATTTGTTAGCCGTTGATATGTAGTGTGTCAGTCTGCTTGGTGTCGCCTTCCTCACAGCCGCTGATGTTAATACATGATTAGACCTACTGACGCATCAATATCACCATAACAAGCTTTAATGTAATTCCTTGTGTGACTGACTCTTACGTGTAAATCAATGACGATGAAAACGAATGAGCCAGGCTAGCTTGTTCAGGTCACGACAAACGATAGCTTTTTAGAAGTGAAAACCTCAACATATTGTCATTTAAAGCCTAGGCCCATCATTTACATAACATAATGACAGTCTACATGCAACGGCATGCAAGTCATGTCAAGAGAGGAATTCAAGACATTATTTCCTGCGATATACCATGCTACATTTGGAGAGAGTTAAAAAAAAAAAACATACATGTAGGTTGGTTGACAATACAACCGAGCTTTTATCATGCTAGCTAGAATGAGCAGGGATATTGTCATAGAGGGGGAAGTATCAGAATTAATCTTGCACCATCCAGTGGTTCAGCAGCAGTGGATAACTGAGGAAAATGTAATGGGACTGCCTAAGGAACAAGAGGAGAGCGGGAAGGGAAAGGAGGTAAGAAGACAGAGCTCAAAAGAGGGACAGATTGAACTAGCGTGACCTCAAACCAGGAAAGGCGCTACAACCGAGGATGAAGTCAGCTTAGGAACGATGCTGCCTGCATTTACGATGACTGCGGCGTAAGCTAAGCATTTGACGAGATTCCCTCCCAACAAGTGAGGAACAACAACAATCAATTCATAGCCGGACGTCGATGTTATTCTTCTTTAGATGCAGTGTCATAAACAATGAATCAACAGAGCCTTTCTTGGTTGCAGACAAGATGCACACCCTATTTTTGCGACCTTATGACGTCAAAAACAACCACCAATTGCACATGATAGAATTCCCAACGACCAACGTGACCTGCACTCAACAGAAGTGTTGAAGTTCGTTTCAGAAACTATGAGGGCTGGATATCACTTAGTGATGCGGGTAGACGCCCATCTACATTTTACTCAACTTGACAACCTTGTGACAGTTTTTACAGCTCAGCCATCTTTAGCTTGCTCAGCTGACTCCGGCGCTTATTTGACAAGCCATTTCTGCTATGTGAACCACGAGACTAGCCAAAAGCTGCCATACGGTAGCTCCTCAAGAATCTGGTTCTACAATAAAAAGGTTCAATGGCAGGTTGAGAGATTTGAATATATTGAACACAGGATCACAGGTCGGGAGTGAGATTATTTCTACATGATTGACTGTTATGTAATATGCGCTGTTATAGTTGTTTCGTCATATCCAAGCAGGTACTGAGACGGATTATTTCTACATGATTGACTGTTATGTAATATGCACGAATTGGCGCTCTTATAGTTGTTTCGTCATATTCAAGCAGGTACTGAGACAACAGAATGATAAAGATGAACAGAGAATTTTCCTCACAAAGGTCGCGGGCATGCTGGAGCCCGTCCCAGCTGTCTTCAGGCAGCCGGCGGGGTACGCCTGCCAGCCAATCGCAGGGCACACATTGATAAACGACCATCCGCGCTCACACTCACATCAAGGGACAATTTCGAGTGTTCCATGAAGCTGCCATGCATGTTTTTGGAATGTGGGAGGAAACCGGAATACCCGGAGAAAACCCACTCAGGCATTGGGAGAACATGCAAACTCCACACAGAAAGGCCGGAGCCGGGATCGAACCCATGACCTCTGCACTGTGAGGTTAACGTGCTGACCAGTCGCCCACCGTGCCGCCATGACAAAAATTTGTTTTGACGCCCGTGGTTTAAAATATCTCCTCAAGTGCAAGGCTCTACACTCATTTTCCACCGGAAACACTGATGCAACCAACTTTCCCCACATGATTTGGTCGCACCCTTTTTGGGCGTAACAGCATGATCATGCAGGTTTCTCAATAGCTGTCTTAATTGGAGTACCATAGTTTTGCTAGCGATATCTGGAAACAACTGTCACTATGGTGCAGTACAACCAAAATAACACACATATTGTTGAAGAAATACCGCTGTTTCAATCAGAAATGAGCAAAACGTTCTTCTTAGAATTTGTGGAAGTGCCTAGAAGTGTCTAGACTCTCGTTCGATCGTGCAAGGGTAGCGAAGTGTGCGGTCAATGTGAATCGTACATATTGTATTTATGTTCCTTCGTACTTTACCTGGTTCATGATCGACGTCTTCCTGCCCAGACGGCTTCCCGGGAAACGCAGGGTACTTCTCTTGCTGCCGTCATCCGACTCAGACTTGACAACCTTCTCGCTGTCCCCCTTCTCTTTCTCCTGCTCTTTCTGGCGCCATTTCTTCTTGCGATTGCGACGCTCCTTGGCACTCTTGGAACTCAACTTAGAGACCTCAGAGGAACTGCGGGACAGATGACCGCCTCCCTCATCCTCCAAGGCGACCTCCGAAACCGTGCCTGCAGAGGTCACCATGGCCGCCGCCTGGATGGGATGAAAAAAATATCCAAGATGATCAACGACGGATCTCATCAGAGGCGCACGAGACATCCCGTACCAACCTGTGTTTCTTCCTGTTGCTTTTTGAGCTGCTCCAGCATGGCTTTGAATTCAGCCTCCTTTTGCTCAGCCTCTTCAATGGTGGCCTGGTTCTGCTCCTCGTAGGCCATGGCCACCACAGCCAAGATGAGATTGACGAGATAGAAGGAGCCCACAAAGATGACCAGCACAAAGAAGATCATGTAGGTCTTGCCCGCCGCTCGCAGAGTCTAACACAAAACACAGAGAAACAGTGATTTGCTTTTCCCAAACTCAGTCTTGTCTTGTATGTAGTTTATCTTTCAATTTGGTTCATGTCAGGGTCCGTGATGGCTGTTGCTCAGCATGGCATGTGTACGAGGTGAACGTGCTTTATTCTGTTCAGTTGTGTTTAAGCATTATTTCACATCACAAATAGTTGACTGGATGTCCTTTGCACAATTTAAATCCCGGGAAAGAAAATTCTGATTCAATTCCATTTCAGATTAGTTTTTCCCCAGGAGCATAACACACGAGGATTGCAACTTTAATCTGTGGCGATTTTGACGAGACCGTGGCCACTCTGTTTGGTCGCAAATCAATCGCAGGGCACGTTTTGAGACAGACAACGCTTCACATTTCTAGACACCATCACTGAGTGTGAACAGAAGCCTGCTTTATTACCAGCATGTAGAGATTTTCCCAGAAGTCTTGGGTCATCAGACGAAAGAGGGTGAGGAAGGCCCATCCGAAGCTGTCAAAGCTGGTGTAACCATAGTTGGGGTTCCTTCCGGCTTTCATACATGTAAAGCCTTCAGGACATCGACTGAAAGTGAAGCAAAACAAATGCATGACCTTTACATCGCAAGAAACGGATACACACGCATCAATTCAAAAATCAACATTGATATCCCAACACGCTGACAACATCTGCACTAAACCATCCCAGGCAGAAGTCTACTTTCTTTTCCACTTCCACTTTGCATTCAAATCTAGTCCCAAGTAATACAGAACAAGCATACAAGTGCAATCTCAAACCATCTGCTGGATCTCATGCAAACTTAAATGAGCTCATTTTATTAAGAACAGCTATCAAACTCCGGATCCTTGAGCGCCACTATGCTGCACGTTATAGCCGGTTCCCTTCTCCAACATACCTGATTCAAATGATCGGTTCATCGGGAAGCTCTACAGGAGCCTTATGTCGCTCGTGATCATTTGCTGAGGTGTGTTAGAGGAGAGAAACATCTAAAACATGCGAGGGGAGCAGGCCTCAAGGACGGAAAATTGCCCTCTGTACTGTACTGTATCAACTGAAGCTTTTAATAATGGCGTACCGTAATTTCTGGACTATAGACCGCACCTGATTATAAGCCGCACCACTATATTTTTAAAGGAAAAAAATATTTTGTACACACATAAGCCGCACCTGTGTATAAGCCGCAGGTGCCCATATTGTAACATGAGATATTTACAAAGAAAGACGGTACACAGGCGGCCGTTAGAAAAGTCTTTATATAAGCCGCTTCATGAAATAAGCCGCAGAGTTGAAAGCGTGTGACAAAAGTCGCGGCTTATAGTCCGGAAATTACGATAACTGTATTTCAATGTGGGGCAAAAATAAATTACAAACAACTGTCAGTGCACTTCGACAGCACTCTAAAACACAACCACAATAATAAACAACAGTTACATTAAAAGCTCTGGGGGAAAAAAAGTTATTTTGGAAGGCTATATCTAAATCGATTTTGCAAGTAGTCAGTTTACGTCGACATGCATCAAGTGAATGAAAATATCAACTTACCCCGAGTCTGAACTATTACCACATAATAGCGCATCACCCTGACCCGGGTAAAAGTAGAAGTTAGCTGTGGGAAGATAAAAACATATAACGCCGTCATTAATTACAAGTCAAGTACATCCATGCTGTGTGTGACCTGAATTGGCAAAATAATATTCGGGAGAAAAAAAAGAAAAAAAAGAAATAAGCATCGGCTATATTGTTGTCATAGTATTTCATGAAGTAACAGTGTCATGGTGACTCACTGTCATTCATGATGTATTCGTCCCAGTCAAAGCCCTTGGAGCCATTGGACAGGTACATGTTGGTCGTATTGATAGGCCAAAAGACACATTTTTGCCGCAGGTTCCCCATGAAGAGCTGCAGGCCGATCAGAGCAAAGACGCTGAGGCAGAAGACGGTCAGGATCATCACGTCGGAGAGTTTCTTCACAGATTGGATCAAGGCGCCCACAATGGTCTTGAGGCCTGGCAAGACCCAAAGAAGAACACGGCATACACACGTGTGCACAAGTACACTTACATTAAATTAAGAAAAACAAAAAAAACAGGAAAACTCAAAGATACAAACACACAGATAGAAATGAAATAAAAGGCTCATCCAAATTACATGAAGTAAAATGCTCTTTTGAACACCTGTGGCTTTTGTGTCAATAAGCGAGGTCATGGAAACTTGTCATGTACGCTCTCATTAAGCGTTGCAATCAGAAAGGAAACACATTTTTGTTCTGAGAATCGAATCGAAGTTCTGCGTATTCACTGACTGATCGGAGTTAGGGATGGGTACTGAAGACGGTACTTTTTTGGGGTGTGGACTGATTTGAGTCAGGTCGACCAAGCACCACTTCGCGTGAAATTAAACAGTGCCATATTTCGGTTTTGAAGTATTCTGAGGTGTGACTGTCCGTGAGTACAAGAGTTGTCGATTTTCCACGTCGCACAGGAACGCAACAGTGTCCTGCACACCAACGTAATGACGTCACCCGGTTCACGCAGGCCTTCACCCATGCTAAAAATACATTTCCAAGTCGAGGCGGGAGTGAGATTTGCCCGCCACTAAGACAAATAAATACCGTTTGTGAAGTTGATTCTTAGCATGATTTTGTTGACCGTAGAGGGGTGGACTTTTCAGTCGCTGAGAGGTCCGTCTACCCGCACCAAATGAGTCATGCTTGTTTTTCCCGAGTTACAATATGTTTGCATTGCGTTTTAGAACGATACTTACCCATGAGCGCATTTCGAATTCCATGCGCATCAAAATAGCGAAAGATTGTGGCCAAAATGTAGCGACCATTATGTACCGTTTAGGGGACATTGAAAATAATGAATTCGATCCAATTATTCTCTTTGTTCTTGTTCGCGTCCTCCACTAATTTCCTCTTAATTTTTTTAAATTTTTTTTTTAATGTTTCAGTCAAGCTGGGTTCAAACTCATCGTGCATGCCCTGCGTTCTTGAAAAACAACTGCACAAGGATCGAAGACAACACGAATAAAATTATTTATCTTATTTCCTTGTTTAACTTCATTCCTTGTGTTGTCTATTGCAAAGAACTTTGCTTCTCACTTTGTAGTTGGTAAGATTCATTTATTGTTTGCTGTTTCCTGCGTCCTTTCATGATTTGACTGCATTTTTTTTTTTTTGTGCCTCCGTCTGTTCTTGTCAGCCCTGTTCCATGTAACAACCAATCAGCTTATGTCACATGAGTTGCAACTTCATGTTTCCTCTGTATCGGTGATTGTTTTGGTTACTGATGGTTTTGAGGGGGGGGTTGTTAATTTTGAATTTGGACTCTACAATGCGCCTTATTTATTTTCTGGAAAAGAAATACTTTCCTCCTGCTTCTCTGCCCTGCATTTGCTGCATTTGGGTCCACTCTTACTTCCACAACACCACCATGAAAACTCCACAGCCGTGACAGTAGTCAAGTGCAAAGATTACCAGATTTTGATCACTTAACAAGAACGTTAAGAAGGTATCAAGTTGTGTTTTTTTTTTAGACACTAACTAAAGTGCCGATACACTGGGATGAAGCTGGGCTGCACACAACAGAGAGTACTGTATATAGATGGAAGCACAGAATCTTGTGAAGCATCCAACATGGAAATCTCTGATTTCTAACCATAAATAATGGAAACAGAACAATAAAAGTGTAGCCTATGGGTGTGTTGGCAGCTTGCGGGCTTAATATTTTAATGCGGGTGTGACCGCATGCAGTCCTGCTTCTCAAAATCTCCAGTTTGTTTCAGGAAATTGTCCTTAGCCCGTATTATTTTGGAAGTGTGCACATGACGGTTATGATAGTTTTGGGATTTTTCATTATCATTTTTTCATGTTATTATTTTTTTCAAATTGTCTTAATTTGTTTTAGACTCAATTTGTAGGTTTTTATTCAAATTTTTTTTCTCGAAAATGCTTTGTTTTGCTTTTATTTTCAGATGTTTTCAGTTTTTTAATATATGGAATATTTTTTCGAGTGGAGATAAAGTGACTATAAAAACAATCACTAAGTATTGTGTAATAAAGTAAACTCTAAAAAAAAGTAAAGTCAATTCTCAAATGACTGTTTGACCTTGCCTCTTTTTGGATGGAAGTAAAGCAAAACGGAATAAATGCAATTTCACTTTTATTGTAGTTAGCTTTAGTTCGCTTGATTTCATAAAAAGCATTTTTTGTTATTTTATTTCATCAACAAATTGATTTTTTTAAGTTCAGTGTTATTTTGTTGTTTTTCGTTCACTATAATAACCGAGGTGCACGCGAGCAAACAACTTTGAACAAAAGAGAACATGTGCTAAAGTGTGTTCACTTTCTATATATATGACTGCGTGTGAACATTCAATCGACAGTATTCAGTTGCTTTTAGGTTAAAACAGACAAAACCAAATAACTACAGCGATAGGGGATGTTTCCTCGAGGAGAAAATATCTTTTTCCTCTGTATGCGCCTTGAATGTCATTTGAATTGCTGACCGGGCCGATGGCAGTCAATGCGTCAAATAAATCAGTGGATCATATTAGGAAACATCCCTTATGAGTTGCAAGTGAACAAAAATAAACTCCATTCATATTCACAGCGAGGGGGCAGAGCAGGAGGTGAAGACGAGAAAGAGAGGAAAGGCGAGGAGGAGCAATGACAAGGTGTCATGCAGGTCATTTAAACGCCAAGGCTGAAGATGCTCACTGTGTGTCATCCATCTGTAAAGTGGAATTAGGAATGTGCCTTCCACAAACTCTTCACACTCATGCAAAGGCCGAAGGCTGATTTTGTTGGATCCACTGGTGATATACGGTGGATATAAAAAAAAAAAGTCGACATACACTTGTTCAAATGCCAGGTTGTGTGATATTTCAAAACATTTTCCACCATTGATGTGACATATCACCTTTCCAACCCAATTGAAAAAAAAAAAAAGAAATTAAACAACTGAGATCATATGGATGGACGTGAATAACTGGGGATGTGCCAATCATTAGAATTATTATACATTCAGACTCATATTGAATGAGGGTCAGCACACTCCTGCCACTGTTTGAAGTGCTTCTGATTCACCCCCAAATCAAGTTGTGATGTTCTAGTAGGCTTTTTCTGACGTTTTTGTGGTCACATCTTACAACACAAGCCCATCGTCCACGAAGAGTTTCCACTGCATGGCAGGGATCTTAATGTTTAAACGTGCCAGTCGGGAGAAGGCTACAAAATAATTTCAAAGGTATTAAATATGCCAATGAGGTCAGGAGTCGTCAATCGTAGGAATGATGTTACATTTCCAAGAACTGACCGATTTTCCCGAATTGATGAAAAGAAAGAAAACTGGTCCGTAAGGCTGCCAAGAGGGCGAACGCAACATTAAGCGTTTCACGGACGGCGGGTACTACAGTGGACAGCTTATCGAGTTATCAGGTTACACGGTGCATGAAAGGAGCTGCAGGAATTTCTAATGAGTATTGGTTGATGAGTACATGTGACACACCCGTCTTCATCGTATGTCTGGACTAAGAGGAAGGGTGGGGTGGGAAGACGAAAACCTTGAAATCGCCCAAATGCAAAGGGGAAAATGTGTGATGGTCGGCTGAAGATAAGGTTGCAATTATGGACCGTAATTGTAAAAGGTATGTTTGGCGTAAACACAAGACCAAAAGCCTACTAGAAAACATGAACTCTATTTGGGGTTAATAGGAGGCGCGTTAAATAAATGCTGGCAAGTGTGTGCTGACTGCTATTTAAAATATCTTTGAATGTGACTGACTACATCCCCCAGTTATAAGTGGGCATGCGCACTTGCGCAACGACATTTTTTCAGTTTAATTCCACTCACAAAAAAATGTTTATATATATATATATTTTTTTTTTATTCAATTGAGTTGTGCAGTGTAGAGATCACATTATAGGTGGGAAAAGGTTTTGAGGTGATTTAGCCTGGCATTTGAACAAGGGTGTGTAAACTTTATATATGCACTGTATATATGTGCGTGTGTGCCTCATGCTGAATTCATCTCATCTGTCATGACATTTCTAAAAGAGTCTGCAAAAAAAAAAAAAAAAAAAGGCAACGTTTGGCGCCTTGGAAATAGCTCAGTAATTGCTCTTGAAGCCAAACCTGTAAAGAGCACGTGTCTCCAAGCATCATGCGGCACTGATCTGCAGTCACATTTAGGCTTGGCAGTCTCAAGGAATGTCACAGTCTTTGGAAAAAGGTTAAAACAAAAAAAGAAGAAGAAAAGAAAAGAAAATACGGGAGAAACCCTGTAGATTTCGACTTCTCAGACGGAGCTGAACAGCGGTGTCATACGGGGTCAGAGGAAACAGTGTTATTCCCAAGGCACAACATTTCTAGTCATCAGAAATGGTCCCCAGGCCACCGAAGCTGAGATTAACATTGGAAATCCCACATTGGTGTTAAAATGTTCCGACTGCCAGTAGACTGCTAAGCCTATCAAAAATGTATTACTACCATTTTTGATTTGTTAAAAAAAAAAAAAAAAGCTATCCAAAAGTTGTTACATTCGCCTCTCATAAATAAAAGAATGAGAACATGAAGATGGCTAATAGCTAAGCTCAGCCTTAGTGTTTAAATGCGAGTCTCACCTGGAATGACAGAAATAGTTTTCAATGCTCGGAGAACCCTGAACGTTCTTAGGGCCGACACATTCCCAAGGTCCACAAACTCTGTTATATATCTGTAATGAGGTAGGACGACACAAAGAGCAGAACTCCATGACACACGACACACGACACACCAGAACGACACGCACGCATGGACGTGCAGGAGCACGACAGCATCACCACCATCGAGGACCAGGAGGGGACACCACAGCGTGAAAGAAAGAAGGAAAGAAGAAAGAGAGACGCCCGGTCCGACTCGGATTGAGGAGGAAGACGGATGAGCAAGAGGAAAGGAGAGGCAACCCAAACAAAACCACAGCTAACATCAACCCGGCGACTCGCCCTCCCGCCCACACAAACACCTCTTACCTGGGATAACCGATATTGTTTTCAAAGCCCTCAGAACCCTGAACGTACGCAGAGCTGACACATTGCCTAGGTTTACAAACTCTGTTATATACCTGCAAGGTGGATCAGACACAGGCACTCAGCAGTCGTTCCCAAAGACTGGAACCACAGAGAATGTTCACATCATAAGCAGTACGCATTTGACCGCATGGACAGAAGTCCCGAAAAGAATATTTTACGAAACGGAAAAATTGCGCTGAACAAAAGTGTGCTGTCCCCCCCATTGAGCCATAACAGAGTGAGGGGAAATTGGCTGAAAAGTTACAGAAGAAAAAAATCTGTTAACGCCTGTAAAATGATACAGTATAAGAGGCTTAAATGTTAAACTCACAATTTTAAACAAAAGCCGATTTGAAAGGGAAAATTGATTTTTCATTCACCAGAAAAAAATGCATAAGCCTCCAATCAAACCAAATCGTTACACCTTGAAATATATCGAGTTGCGTACCGAATATTAAAGAGGTACATCTAAGGCAGAGGTGTCAAACTCATTTTTGTTACGGGCCACTTTGGAGTTACGTCTTCCCTCGGACGGCCGTTAATCATCACGTTGTGTTGTTACTTAAAAAAAGGCACACTACTCGTTTTGAAATCAGTCAACTATGTGTTTGTTGTTTGTTCAATTATTACAGTGAGTGTAAACCAAGTCACAAAATTATTGCAAAATGTCACCGTTATTTATTACATATGGCAATTTGAGATTTCGGTACCAATGTAAGCAAGGATCATGGAAGTTGACATGGATGATTTGCTTTCGCGGGCCGCATAAAATGACGTGAAGGGCCGGATCTGGCCCCCGAGCCTTGAGTTTGACACCTGTGATCTAAGGTCTATATAAGTACTGACGTGTTCATTCAAATAGATGGAAAGTGTCAGCAAAAAAGTCATCGCATCATACCGTCTCAAAGAAATGAACCATCATCCCGCCTGGGTCGAACCAAATCGAATATACATTTGTTTCTCCAAATCCTCCTTTACAAGGTCGTAACACTTACGCCATTGAAATGACCATGAAATCCAGCCAGTTCCATGGATCTCGAAGAAAAGTGAATCCATCGATGGCAAAACCTCTGGCAACAATTTTTGTGAGTGACTCAAATGTATAGATACCAGTGAAGGTGTACCTGGAAAGAAAGGAAAAAAAAGTAAAGGTTATGGTCAAGAGACATGATTAGTGTATTTTTTTTAATGTAAAAATTGATGTGAGGTACTTACTCCACTTGTTTGGACCACTCTGGTGGGTCGCTAAATGTCATGAATATACAGTTGGTCAAAATGGTGCACATGATGATCATGCTGAATAACGTGAGAAGGCGTTAAGGCTCAATAGACACAAGTTCGTGCGTGTCCGCTGTCGACTTATCACACATGCAGAGCAAATGGAGCATTTAAAGCCACGAAAAAAAAAAACCCTGACATTGAAAGGATATGAATGTATCAAAATCTTAATTGCTATTCGCCTGAATATATTAAAAGGGCTGATGAAGTACAGGGAGGGCGTGGCACTAAAGCGGAAGATTGTTTTCCCCTTGTTTAGCACTATGAATGTCTGCAGAAAGAAGGGAGAGAGAAAAACAACGAGTGTGGTCATTTGGGCAAACATATGGCATGTATTACAATATTTAGGTCCAACATTTTTTTTTTTTCTCGAAAGGAAAGATCGGCTGGCTGACTCATGAGATTATGTCTGAGTCACGGGCCTCTGCTGCATCGTGTTCCCCCCCTCCGAACCCAAAATGGCTTTTTCCAATATACACGACATGTCTATAGTGTGTATAGATATATCATGATGGAGATTTTTTTTTTCCTGAATGTCTCCCCCCCGCACTAATGTTACTGCTTTACACATTGTATTCTCCCTAATATTTACCCTGGCTGCTGTGAGAAAACAGCGTGTGATGTAATGGCCCTCCCCTTTAGAAAAGGACGCGGCACAAACACAGCACAGAGGTGCCGCTTGCATCAGTCCTGCAGTGCTTCCACCGTGACAGAGGCAAGAAACGGAGGCATGTGAAGCTCCGCTGCGCGCTTGCCAAATGAGGCTCTTCGGCCCAGGTTTAAAGCGTTTACTGGAAGAGAACTGCAAATGCTGTCATTGATCAGTGGCAGATCTGCTGACTCCATGCTCTCAGCAACCACTCCCCACCCATAAATGGCAGTGGGCCAAGTGGAGCTGGGCACTGGAGTGTGAGTGGGCATGTTTTTGGGGTGCGTTATGACATGACAGGAAAAAAAAAACAGATGACCATTATAGAACAATTATTTAGAAAAAACAAATGCAGTGGTGCCTTGAGACAAAAGTTGAATTGACCACGCTTGTAACATATAAGACTCTCGTCTTAAATCATCTTTTGACAATGAAATGAATGGAAATGCCAATAATCCGTCCAAGCCTCCCTGCCCAGCCCCCGCCCCACCCTCCAAAAATGCGTTGTTAATGTATATTGTTATGCGGAATAGCACTCGTTTATATTGTACCTCAGAAAAACATACAGTAAATACATAATAAAATTGAATGACAAAGAATTCAACCACATCAATAAAATGGGGCCCCTTTTGTGCCCCTTGGCCGCTTAGTGGCAGTAGAAGACAGACAGACGGTTATACTGGTCCTTGCAGCAGGGCGTGTGTTGCCTAGGGGGATGTCTCAAGTCCTCTCTGAGCTCATCAGTACAGCACTGATATCAGTCATCCTATAAAGAGGATAAAGAGTTAAACGCTGAGTACTGTTTTGTTGTCCATCTACATGTTGCTGAACCATGTGTTCAATCCATTTTTAATCGGCGTTAAGACAAATGCGAACAGTTTTAAACAAAAAGTAAAATAAAATGTGAAGCAACGATAGATTGCTGTTCTCACGATGACAAAAATCCTTGATCCACAATCTGGATTCTTGACCCATGCCGCACTACCATCACTTTCATCATTTCACACACACGACAAAGGCAGGCAAAACTATAACATCCTCTGATGAGCTGTGTGAATGAAATAAAAACTTTTTTTTTTCGAATATGCAGCCAAAATACTAAATCTACAGGTTTGCTTTTCACGTCAGCTTATAACGTCCCAGCACCTCTCTGCTCACCTTTCATATACTCTGCTTCAGTCTAGGCACACGATACAAATAATACTCCACACAATCAACACAAGATGAAAGCACATGATTGAAATTCATGTGTGTGCGCTGTGGCCCAAAGGTCAGAGGAGTTTTGCTGACAAAGCAAATGCAGTGTGTGCATGGAAGGAGACATGAATAATGAACAATTTTAAAATGAGCAAAAAGATACCGAACAGTGACAGCCAATGGAATTAAGAGTAAGGCCATGTCTGAAGTGAAGGCATCATCAAACTAGATCTTTTTTCGACGAGATTTTTTTTTTTTTTTTTTTTGTTATCAGAAGTTACTAGAAAGTCTTATTGTCACTGGGTTTATTTGAATCACTCCCGAAAAAAAGATCCTTTGGATTTACTTAATTCGAACATGTACATGGGTTGCACATGATTAAAATGGTGTAAACGTGTATAATTTTCCTCGAAAAAAAAAAAAAATCAACGAATTATATCTGTTAGTTTAAGACAGGTCTGTCAAACTCATTTTTGGCGCGCGCCACATTTTATTTACCATTTCACTTGGAGGGCCGTTAAGACTGAAACCATGTAAAGAAGTCAAGAATAACTGTTGATTGAACGATTGTTTAAGTTACTATCATGAGGGGTTTGGCAACAAGAAAATGTTTAGAATATACCTCTTATTTATTACACATGACAATTTAAAATTTTGGTCAACATTTAAGAAAGCATCATGGAAGTTGACGTGTTTGAGTTGCTTTCGAGGGCCACAAAAAATGACATGGCGGACCAGATCTGGTCCCCGGGCCTTGAGTTGGACACCGGTGGTTTAAGACGTTTTAATCATATGCCACTGAAAATCAAGTACTCCAAAATGGGACTGAACAACAAATTCTGCGATTTGTCAAATAGCAACCCTGCTAACAAACAAACATCTGTTGCGCTCGACAGAGGTATTTCCTTATACTTTGATCAAATGTCCTCGTTTGCTCGGGCTACTGTTTTTTTTGTTTTTTTTTTTTACACACTGTCAGGGTCGTCCACGGACGTTTTATAAATTCATGAAAACGCCAGGCTTTAATTTCTTCTCGCAGGATCCATTAGCATGTGTTTAATTTGATTTGAATGATAAATGAGAGATGGTGTGCTTTTTTTATTTTTATTTAATTTTTTTAATGAAAGGCGGAGTGCATGGTTCTCGGTGTGTGTGACATAGGGACTGGCGTGTGGAGAACCGAGAAAAAAAGCCAGTGGCGGTAAGGACAAGTCTGGAGTAGTTACACTCGGTTACAAGCGTGAGTGTCAACATATTTGGCGCTGAAATGGGACGCAACGAAGCTCCAGTTGCATATGCGAGCAACACAAAATCCCGTTCATTCGTCTGTGTTTCACCACATTTGTTCAAGTCGCTGGGCCGAGAGGTACGTTAGGATTACGGTTCGGAGCTGAGGACAGTGGCGACACACGTAAAAGGTAACGGTGTGCAAAGCTCACACATATATATTTCAATGTCTAATAAAGGTGCCTTTCGGTGATCCCAAAGCTCATTTCGACACAGAAAAATTTTTTTAAAAAGCTGTATGAGGAGAGTTTCTGCATGGGTCACCGAGTTCCTGAATTGTCAGACCCCGGAACACAGGATGGAGAAGGAAACACTTGCGAGGAAGAAAACTAAAGACTGAAAGTGACGTTTTTATCCTAAAATTAATTCAATGAATATCCTTGTGAGACTACTGTTTTATTATTTACATTATTACCGTACATTGAAATGATTTTGTTAAATCTGTATAGATAACCAGTGACAAAAACAAAGGTGCTCAATGAGGGAGGAGTGACTTTTGCCTGAGGCCGAAATGCGTCACGAGACACAGTTTTAGGCACCCCCCCCCCCAAAAAAAACAAAACATTTATGCTGTATTTCTACAATTGAATACAGTACCGGTACATACTTTTCACTACTGCATACCTTTTCAGCAATTATCTTCATCCAGTACTGTGTCATGTATTTCGAAACAAATCTCTGGGACTTCACGAACAAACCTAATTTATTCCAAATGATACATTTTAAATAAAAGCAATCATTTGCTTTTGAAATGAATAAGCAGCTGAAGCTACAGTACCTCATGCAGTTTCATCACAATACACAAAAAGACATCAAGGTTGCGTTGTCCCCCTGTCCTTCAACACTGTATGCGGTGACTCTGTGACTAATATTTAGCGGTAAGTGTCTGTAAGTGATGAATTCTGCACTTATCTCATTTAAAGAATGTACCCTTAACAAAGACATTCCATCAGAAGGTCAATCTTTATCAGCCTTATTTGCTTGCAAAGCAGTCAAATTAAATTCCGCATGTAGCGTTTCTTATAGAGAGACAATTCAACAATTGGTGGGCATAATGCAGCTTGCAAGAAGCGGAGAAGGGTAACAGAGAGGAGCTTTCAAGTGAGGTGGGACAGCAGGAAAGCGGTCCGAAAAAAAAAAAAAAAAAAGAGGTGGGGCTGAGATAAGTGTTTGTGATGCGGAGCTGTGGAGGCGTACGAGTCAAATGTGGGATGGATGGATGGAAGAATGGATGGATGGCTGGAACGTGGCCTGAGCCTTTTCGAATCAGTTAGCCTATTAGCATTCATCATCAATAGATATCATTTGAAATGATGAAAAATGTCCGCGTGTGTTTAGCTCGTCGTGACTCGCAGCATCGAATGACCTTCACAAAAGCGTAACACCGTGCAAATAACTTCCACACAAGCCCGCTTTGCAGAACTATAACATGATGTATTGGAAAGCATCGACATGAGCTAGACTGGAGCCCATGCTGCCATGAGTAGCTGACAGCGGTTCCTAAATCAATATTGCAGCCAGCAAAAATTCAACATGGTGGGCTAAGAATGCTTAAAACGCAGCGATGGATGCTTCCGACGCTCGGGCCGAATATACGCCGTGCCTGCAAATGATCCAAACATTCATCCGTCTAAAGCTTCACCTGAACAATTTGATGCAAAACCCCACCCTCTTTCGTTATACCAAGCACCTAGCACGCAGTCACAGTCACACGCGCACACACACACACACACACACACACACACACACACACACACACACACACACACACACACACACACACACACACACACACACCACCCCATCCCTCCCTCACTCAGTGCAGCAGGATGCTGTGTCATCAGAGACTGAGGACTCAGACAGAGCACTAAAGCCTGGCCCTTGCTCTAATTTACTCCACCCTGAAGAAAAAAAAAAAAGAACAGAGGCGGAAGAGGAGGGGGGGAGGGAAATGAGAGTAAGAGACGACGACTTTTGATTGTCAGGTATTGTAAGTAACGTGCTGAGAATAAAACATACTGTGACGAACACTGGGCTTTTCGAGAGCTGTGTCGTTCACAGGAAGCAGCGCAATTACCGAGTCGGGAGCGTTGTTATAACTCTGGATATCCGAATCTTGTGCACATGAGTAAAAAAAAAAAAAAAGCATGTTGCTACATCCATCCCACCCGAGCCAGCTTGGCCTAATCGCATGAGGCGTTTGAAAAGCCCAGGCAGTCTAGGAGGCATCACGGGGGAAAAAAAAAAAACGAGAACTGCAACGCTGCATTTCTCCTCCTCCTCACCAATGGCCCCTCTTCCTCTCTTTGTGATGCACGAGTGCTGTGATCAGGTTTCTTGCATCTGACCGCCACACACACACGAAGACAGAGCGATGCTACGTGTGATAGGACGACTGTCGGTCAAATGTCGAAGATGGTCATCCCAGGGAAGTGTGAAAACAAAGGGAGGAGCGGGTGCTTCATTTTCATTTAATTGAATTGTATTAATTTGAAGGCCTCGAGGGGAAACGACATTTTACACACGGCGGTATATTTTTGTTTCACCGCCACGCGGACAGCTCGCTTAGTGACTGCATAAGCAGTGACAGTTACACATGAAGTCATTTAGTCGTCCTCATGGTCTTTATCATTGTCCAGGTAAAGAAAAAATTGCATTTGGAAGTATTTCAATTAGCAAACTAAAGTAAATGAGTTATTTTAACCAGAGTAAGTCGGGGTCCAATTTTGGAAGGCTAAGTAAGCTGTTACAGTCATATTATTCATCTGCAGCAGGACTCGAGCGTGCGACCCAACAGTCCTCAAGCAAACAAGACCGAGCTTCTCTCCAAGTTCCTGCCGCCCACATACGTGTGAAAAAGTCAGCGGCAGCGGCAAAAATAGAGAAATATGAAACAATATCTTTTGAAACCACACCAGCGCAACTGGTCCAAGAAGTATTTGTGCGCTGCAGCTACGTTTTGAAGTCAGGACTTGATGTTCTTAACAAGAGCTGGAACTGGAACTCTACCTAAGAGAGAGTCACAACTTTATTCTCAGTGCTGTGCCGTTAAGTGAAAATACATTTCTGTATGTCTAGCCACACATTTAATGTGATTCTTATCTTGAGTTGAATGGGTTGTTAATTGCTAGATGTATTACCCCTTGAAAAAAATCTCAGGCAAGTGTATGTTGCTTTGTAGGATCATGCCTGAGCAACATATCATTAGCCTGATAGTTTAATTGCTTCAGTCATTTGAACTGACTGTTTCAGTGGCAATAAAATAAAAAAAAAATACCAATGGGCTGGCTAAAAAAAAGGCCCTTTCAAATACGGTTTAGGCCACTATGCTAGTCGGCTAACAATATCAAAATCTTTCCAACAAATGCTCATCAAAACAAAACCTCACAACTTTGTACTTGGCGGAAGAAGTAAGACAAGCAAACTGCAATAAACAAGGACTACTTCCTCCCGTGGCTCATCTGCACTAAAAAAATATACATAAAAAAATCCAGGCACATGCGCCTGTCATGACCTTTTCGATTCCTATCCACTTTTTTTCATGTCCTCTCTCTCACTAACATACACTCACTAAAGTCCAAAGGCCACCTTCTACATTTCAATATTCTTGCCATTATGTTGAAACAATACTTTCCATTTCAAAGCGCCTACTCATGAAGCATGTCAGATTGAAAACCAGTCAAAATGGGAAATTCAATCTATCATCCAGTGCTTTTTTCCCCCTAAGGTTTAGCTCAACTTTCTGCCACCAAATTGTCACTCCGCCAGGCACATGTCAAACAAAACTCTCTCTGTTGCGCCTGCTCGCCCAGCTTGGCGGAAACCGGTTGGCCAAATTTTCAAACAGCGAGCCTTACGGTGATAAGAAAATCGATATCCGCCTGCGGTTATGCCACGGCGGTGCAGATGTGCTGTCCAGATGTGTGTCGGTCTTTCCATTTTAATAATAAATGTGGTTAACTGCTCTTTACACTTGTGTGACAGTTTTAGAAACGTAAAGTGTACCGTATTTTCCGCACTATAAGGCGCTTCGGAGTATAAGGCGCAGCTTCAACGAATGGCCTACTTTAAAACTATTTTCATATGTTGGGTGCATCACATTTCAAGGCGCATAGAATAGAAGCTACAATAGAGGCTGCGGTTGCGCTATGCATCCACTAGATGGAGCTACGCTAAAGGGAATACAATACAATACGGCTTTATTTATGTGGAGTTTTCACAACCGCTGTAGCTGTAACAAAGCACTTTTGTGTTTCTTGCAGAACATTTAAAATACAAGGTCCAAGAAATTCGAATATTGATCCAGAGATAAGGCGCTTCGGATTATAAGGCACAGTGTTTTGAGAAAATGGAATGCTTTTATGTGCGCCTTATAGTGCGGAAAATACGGTACCTTAAAAAAAAAAAAAAAAAAACAACTCCTGTGCAGTTAATACATTTGATGATGTCAACAGTGGGATTTGAAATGTATTTCCTGCAAGAGACGGGGAAAAAAAATACACAGCATAGGCCGCATTGGGTAAATGTTGCATGGTGTGAGTGAGTGAGTGCTTAACTAACTTTCTGGTTGATATAGAAGGGGTCCAAATCCTCTAGCGGTGTGGCCACCATGCCAGCTGGAATATCACCGTATATGAGCGGCAGGCTCTTGCCAGCCTCCAAGTCCCTGTTGGGCTTGGGCTCATTCTCGTCTGACGTGTCGCGGTGACTGCTGTCCGACCTGGGCTTGGCTGGTTTCTTGTTCTGCTCTTCATTGATCCGCTTCTCGATGTTAGCAAGCGACTCCGGGGTAAACTTCTTGAAGCTGTCAGGTCCTGGGGGTGCAAGAATGGGTGCGGCCATGTTTTCATCCTGCAGCTATTTCTTCTTTATTTGTTTTCCATAGCAGACATCCGGCTCTGAAAGACAGAAGCGTTTATTAAAAAGAGAAGAATTTACAAAGATAAGAGATTCCTTTTTGCACACAGGCAAGGTTACGCACATGACCCCAAGCCATTTAAATTCAGCTGTTTATTTCATGTTCATAAAATACATGTATTCAGTATGTTTGTAAACATTTCTTTAAAGTGATTTTTCTTCAATTATACACGTTAAGTCAACCAAAGAATTTTTTTTCTGATATTGTTTAATTATAATCAAAATGCGGAGCAGTGGTGCATGCGCATGCAGGATCTCGGTTTGAATCTCAGCTCAGGCGCAGACTTAAATTTTCTTCCTGTGCTTGTGTGCGTTTACTCAGGGTACTATGAATTACTACCGCATTTCAAAAACAAGCACGGTTGGTGAACTAAAATCTCTATTTTGCCATAACCGTGAATCTGAACGGCCTCTATGTCCATTCATTCCCTGTGATTGACTGGCGACCATTCTGGAACGGACTGTACCTCCAGCTAGGAAAGGCTCCAGCTCACTCGTGACCTGAAACAGGATACACAGTAGAGAACGGAACGATATATTCAAGTAGCTCCCTTTGTGAGAGCCTGTTCTCCTTCGATAAACGGGACTGAAAACTGAAAACAAGTCAAATAACTTGATTCCTGTCATTACTCTCCTGTAGGACAAAGTAACACTTCAATCATAGCATGGGATACAATTTTTCACGACCCTGCGAGGTGCCTTAATTCAACAACACAAAACACAATATTAATACGGACTGACACTCAGCGTCACATCATTTTTTTTGCGTATTATATAATGAATGTACATGGCCAGTTCTGGGGCAGGACGACCACAACATGGCTCACGGCACCTCATGTGGGACTGTCATACAGTGAAACTCCTCTACAACGAAATCATGTTTGCAGCAAGAAATTTTTCACAACAGGGGACTTTTCACTATAGCAAATTTTATCTCAGACGTAAACACAAACACACACAAAAAACGTATATGTGTACTTTATTTTTATTCCAATAGTGCAAAAGTATGAGCATAAACTTATTTGACACTTCATATAGCCAGCGTAGAAAGAAAAAAAGGCAAAGAAATTGCGAATTTACGATCAGCATTTACTTTCACTTACATCAATTTCTTACATGATGTCTTCTATTTTGCTAGCTCCATTTTTCATTGTTATTACCTTTATCCTGTCTTCAAGCATTAAAGCTTTTCTTTTCTTAACTCCTTGGTATGCAAAGGTCCGTTTTGTCGCCATTTTAGCAATGCAACGTTGGCGCTGCGTCTGAAACAAACGACTTCCTGTACTATTGCACATGTGTAAACCAGTGTGGTGGTTGCTGTTGCCGTTTCCGAACGATGCAGTAGAGGTCGTTGTGACATGCTGAGGTTGGATTAGACTTTTGCAGAAGGCTAGTTTTCGTTGAAGTGAATCTCGTTGCGAGGCAAAAGCAGAGAAAAAGATTTCGTATAATGGAACAGGGGGATTTTTCGTTGTCGGGGGAGCAGAAAAGTGGGAATGGCTTTCATGCATGAAATTTTTTTTCACACTTGGGGGTATTTTCGCCCATGTAGGTTTCGTTGTAGAGGAGTTTGACTGTACATAACGAAAGCATCTTTTATTGGAGAGATGCACACCCCGAGGATGAATGTATCTACTCTCTGGAATGACTGATGATACACAAAATATGGTAAACAACCATGGTTCATATGTGCACAAGAGATGATCAGGAGTACAAGCCATTTGCTAGGTTTTTTTTTCCCCACACACTAAACAAATGCAATGTTGCAGGACCTGAAATTCAATCTGCAACAAGGAAGTCCACGAGCAGATTGATCCAACAGTTGAGTACTCGACAACCATCACCACCACCCGGAAGAGGAATGAACTGTGCTTCAAGTAACCCAACCTCGGCGCAACCTCCAAATATCCTTCCACCCATTGATCTACTTCCAAGGTGATTCCAAGCAAGACGCAGAAGCACGGCCAGCAGCGCATGCACAATTGTGCAACTTTACACCATTGTGGAAGTACGGAAGGTCTCGTAGGCTAGTGCTTTTTAATGTCAATACGCTCATTCGTCCAGAGGACAACACGTCACAATGCAATTTGACCTCTGCCTTTTTTGATTACAACCTGGGCAGACGGATAACTCCACAATGATTCATCAATAAAAAGCAGTCTTCAAACAAAACGTATGACGAGTCATGTGGGTCGGAGACGACAAAGGAAAAAAAAATTTTGCTGAGTCTCGTTTGTCTCCCAAAAGCTTGTCGATGTTCTGTGAGGCGCTGTGTCCTTTGTGCAGGGAAAGACACACAGACACACACCGCTGTCTGCATTCCAAGAGAGAGAGAGAGAGAGAGAGAGAGAGAGAGAGAGAGAGAGAGAGAGAGAGAGAGAGAGAGAGAGAGAGAGAGAGAGAGAGAGAGAGAGAGAGAGAGAGAGAGAGAGAGACACACACACACAGCCCGCAATATAAAACGCTGATCTGTCATCTCCTGCAGTCATTTCTCATTGCTGCTGCCACCAGAAAATGCAAGCAGTGAAGGGCAAACTTAACTCAAGTTGTGGACTTGAGGTTTGTGTTCCTAACTTAAGTCAAATTTGCATTTGACTTATAAGTTGAATTTAGCATAACAATTATGAGAAAAGTTATTCACATTTCTCATATGAAAAGATTGAGAACACAGTTAGTGTACTTGACACTTGTTGTAAATTTTGCACATATTGGATCCTTACATAGTCCAGACAATTCCAAACTTGACCAACAATTTGTGAAAGATTTGCCTAAAAAAAACCCCAAACAATTCCAAGTCGACAAGATCATCACGTGAGACACGGGCAAATTGCGCAACCGTGCATAACTTTTGTTTTCGCTAGTGAAACCGTTGAAATGAGATTTTATCATTGTTCTGAACTCCTGTTTTAATGGCCAGGAAGGCATAATGCTGTCAAGATGAGTGTGATCCCACAGGCTTTGGTGAATGTGGGTTCGATGTCGTTTGTCGAGAATGAATCAATAGCGCCTCTGCTGTTGCAGCAAGGTAGTGCACTGCATTTGCACTTTTTTTTCAAGGGAAGTGAACATTTTTCTTTGTATGTACAATGTGCCACCACTAGTCTAAACACGGTATTTTGATTAATATTAAGTTTATGGAGTATGAATGAACCAGAAAAACCCACCCGTTTTCATGCATCTCAGGGGTCGGCCATTTTGCCTTGTACTGCCACTTGCTGTCGATGAGCAAATGACATCATAGTGCCTACATGCTCAGGTTGCGAACGTCACTCCCATCTTTTTTTCTGGATTTGGTCACATAACGTTTGCAGGAGGAGCCCTTGGGCACTGTGATGTCATTTTTAGTCAGCAGCAAGCGTCAGTACAAAGCAAAATGGCTGCCCCGGAGATGGATAAACACGGTTGGATTTTTCTGCTGAACTCATATTCCACAAAGGCAATATTCATCAGGATACCATGTATAGACTAGCGCGCACAAATAAAACACATTATTGGAATGACAATTTATGACTTGACTTCTCATTTAAGGCACAATTAATCAACCATTAGTGCCAGGCAAATGACAAAAATCTTGATGGGCAGAATGATCAATAAATCAACCTTGGCGGTTTCGCATCAGTTACGACAGCTTTCACAACATGTCATCATTAGTAAATAATTAGATAATAACCAAAGAAGGGATGAAAGCAGTGCGCAGTTCATTTCAATCAATTACCCCCCCCCAAAAAAACACACACACATATACACACACACATATACACACACACACGCACACATTTCACTTCTTCAGTCTTCACACCGCTGTATTTTACTTAAGTCTAACAGGCCTGTGTCCAGCATCACTGATAAGACTGGCTGCCAAAAATTAAAGGCCTCATCTAACCTCCCATACACACTCATATGTGTGCATTTTCATTCATACATCGACCAGAAGCCAAGTTCTGAGCATCAGAGAATTAACATACATGACATGAAGCATGAGGACATTATCGTCCCCTCGTCAAGGATGATAACCATCTCCTCACCTTTAATCTGTACCCAAACAGACATTCGATAGCGGCAAAGTGTCATACAGCTCAAGTGGAAAATGACCTACTGCAGTGTGGTACAGTACAGTATATTGCTGCTATGGGACCACACTAACTCATCATATAGGGCACCGATTATATCCTGACGACTCAAAGCAACTCAAATCAGCGGAACCAGCTCCACACCGCAGAGAGCATACATTTATAAATAATCCTCCTCAGGGCTATTTACCACACCCCAGCGGAGCACATGAGAGAGAAATGAACAAAAGGGGCTGCCACTGTCACTGTGAGGACTCCCAAAGTAAAGACGCATCTTTTGGGGGGGGGGGGGGCAATGGTGCAAAGATGGAGTGCTGAGGTGCATCAAACAAAATAAAAACTAATAATGATTGAAAGGCATCATCTAAAATGGAAACAGGAGAGTCACTGTAGCCAATGGGAGAAGTTTGATCACACTTTGTATCTGCGTATGTTGTGTGGACCAGTCTCGTGTCTCTCCAAACATGCAAGGCCAACACCCCAAACAACATGCTGACTCTCACTGTATCCCCGGGAAAAAAAAAATTGATGGCCGGCAAACGCGCGCTCGTCCAAGCGACGTGATTGTAATTGTAGTGCAATAAGAGAGTTTCGTGGGAGCCGGCGCCATTCCTCCGTGGGAGCCAGGAAGGATGCTGAGAGGGGGAGCGCTCTGCGGCAATGGGATGCGGTCAGTGGCCAAAGTAGAACTGCGATCCGCGCGGCGACCGAACGATGACACAAAGCGCCGAAAACGTGTTCGCTACTTACTTCCCAGCTCTTTAACAAGAATCCGCACGCCGTCCGGAGAAATGCAGGTGTAGCAAAGAGTGTGGGGCAACTGCGGCTGTCGCCATATTGATGCCGCCGCCGCTGCCGCTGCCGCTGCTGCTACTCAAGCCGCTGCTGCTATCTTGGCTCGGCGCGCGCGAGGATGCCCTGCATAATTGATGACTCTGGGCAAATTGTTAGGGAGTGTCGGCAAATGCCTGCAGTCTCAACAACGGACGGAAGACCGCAGAAACGCAGGCGATACAAGTTATAAATGCGCTGAGTAGTCTGGACACGGTCAGGAACGGTCAACGTAAAGATGGATTTGGTTTGAGCATCCCTCAAAAACGAGTCTTACAAAGTAAAGGATTTGATTTAAATGTTCTTAACCAGGCACTAGCGTTACACGGTTGCACCTCCCTGGATCAATGCGTGCAGACTTGCCATACAGTAGAGGCTCTGCATTAACATGCGGGCGAAGTCCCACCAGGTGACGCTGTTTGCCTTTCTTCTAATTTCCATGCTCTATTAATACAGAGCCTCTTACCCAAAGTCATCTAGAAAAAAAAAACTTGAGTCACTCGCGAATAAAGACGAGCCCCAAAGAAAATGATTGAACCCAGAAATGAAAAAAGACAGAAAAAAGGAAAAATAACTGAAATGAAAGTTACCGATTTAACAGTTAATTAAAATCTGCTGGTTCTTTTTTTTTAATTATTGCAAACGAGACATTTTCTCCTAAAATTAAAAATTTTACATTACAAGGGCAGCATGGATGAGTAGTTAGCATAGCCGCTTCAGAGTTCAGAGGTTAGTGGTTCCAGCCCACCCATGTGGATTTACTCCAATTTACATTCCCAAAAGATGCATATTAGGTTCATGGATGACTCGAAATTAACCACGTGTGAATGGTTGTTTCTCTATGCACACTGTAAGTGACAAAATCAGCTGGGACAGGCACCAACTCAATCGCCACCCTCAGAGGACAAGCACTATACAAAGTGTGTGGATAACTTGAATTTTTTAAAAATGGATTGTTAAGATTATATATATTTATTTACCTAATCTACAAATAGCCTGGCTCTACATGGTGAGGATAATGGACGAATATTTAATTCAGAGCAGTGAAAAACAAATATCCCAAAATAAGTTTCGATAGCATTCAACCTCATCTTCACCATATCGGCGGTAACCTTGTGGAGTTACACTCTAATAGCGCAAACCCTGATGTTTCCATCCATCCATTTTCTGATCCGCTTCTCCTCACAAGGGTCGAGGGGCGTGCTAGTCATCCACCACTGTGGTCAAGTTTGACGTCGCCGGCGATTCTTGGTCATTGTTTAGCTGAGCTCTTTCGCCCTCTAGTGGCCATAAAGAACAGTACACCTTTAAATTTCACGCTTCCCAAAGAGCTTCCGATTGTAGTAATGGCGGTAATATTATATTATATTTAACATTATATTAAATGCAGTATCGATTGCTGCAGTGCAGAACATACATATAAACAATCTGGAATTCTTTCACAGTGTAACCAAGCAAAGGTGGTGAGAAGTAACATTCCTATAGTAGTTAACGTGTTGTAGTGTTTTCTTTTGAAATGTCACGAGCATTTGCGACATTGTTGACGGGGTTTAACTTAACTGCGCAGCCATCTTTTGACAGCAGGCGAACCGGGACTAGTCTGACACCGACAGGCTCCAAATGGCTTTTCTGATGACGTTTTGTACTTTCGTTGTCAAAGTGTTTTGTCTGCCTTTGTACCTACTGGATGCCGTAGGCTTGTACAAACTCTACAAACGTGTCTTTCCGTGTTGCCTTTATCGTTTGTCCAAGCTGTACAACAAGAAGATGCACGAGAAGAAGAGGGAGCTGTTCGCGGGTCTGTCCGAGTTCAAGCAACCCGGAAAACAGCTAACCATCTTGGAGGTCGGCTGCGGCACGGGTTCCAATTTCCACTATTACCCAGCCGGTTGCAAGGCAAGGCAACTTTAGATGTATCGCGTTATTTCATACACAAGGTAGTTCAGTCAGTGTGCGTCATCGAGTTCAAAATACAACACACAAAGTCATTTACAAACAAACAAAAAAACCTCAAGAAAATACATTTAAAAGCAAAGTAAATAAATAAAAAGTCGTTTAGTTAACATATGACAAAGAATGTACAGACCCCCCCCAAAAAATATTTTGAAAACAAATTACCATAATCGTAGGCTGCTTTGAAAGTGCTCTATAAATGCAGTTGAGTTGAGAATAGATATGAGGTTGGAAAAAAAATCTTAGTTTTTAACCTGGAATTAAACTTGGAGCTGCATTCATCTTATTCCATTTTCCTACGGCGGAGCTACGTTCTCATCCTCATGAGAAACATCTTTCCCCGCTACCGCTAGCTTATTTAGCTTACTCTGAACGGTAGTCTATTTACAGCCTGCTTCCGACAACAAGTGGTCGGCATGGCAGTCCTTTTAACAAAAAAAATAATAATAAAAAGAGCTAATAACCTGATGACCAACAGGTGCAATGCTGGAGGAGAAACTCTCTAATGCCACCTGTTGGTCACAAACCGAACGGAACCATGACGCTAAACTATGAAACCAAATCGAATCTAAACAAAAACAGAATCATGACAATTCTACAGCTGACATGGAGCCAGTGTTAATCCTGTAGGACCTCAGTAATAGTGTATGTTTGGATCTCTCTGTGTAAGGTGATCTGCATGGACAACAATGCACACTTTGAGAAGTACCTGCACAGGAACATGCTCGAGAACCGGCATGTCACTTATGAGAAGTTCGTGGAGGCCTCGGCGGAGGACATGCGCTCATTCGAGGACGCGTGTGTGGACGTGGTGGTGTGCACGCTGGTGCTCTGCTCCGTTGACAATGTCCCGCAAACTCTGAGGGAGGTGTGTCGCGTTTTGAGGCCTGTAAGTCCAGCTCCTCTTATAAGATCATAAACTCATATGTCTTGTGATATTACATATTCCTGGATTTGATATCGTATGTTCAGGGTTTCATTACGTGCGCGCAAGGCTCATTTGAAACAAAAGCAAAAGAAGAGGGCCTTTCTCAAAATGTCCGCCCATCTATTTTCGAATCAGCTACTTGCTTTGCAGTTAGCAAATATAGCATGAGTTGAAATGCTACTTTCCAGTATTTCCCCTTTTGTTGAAGTCACTTTTTGAATACTGTATGCGTGCCTCCTGTTGGTCAATGCCGAAGAACCGATCCAAGGACGACATAGTACATGTCACACTATGCGCCAAGACGAACAAAAATTCTGACATGCCAGACTTTGGGCATCGTGGTCGTGAAGCATCTCAGACGCCTCACGACCAATCGTTTAGTATGTCACACTACACGGGCTACAATGAATCAAGACACTCAACATCGGTTACGAGATACCATGTTTGTCGGCGACACCTTGTGTCGGCTCAAAATCGGGCTACATTCGTGTAGTCTGACATCTGCATTAAGCAGGTGTACTAAATTGTCTTAGTAGCACAAAAAAACTTGGAAAGAAACCCCAATAACCTTCCAAATAAACGATTTACGCTAACCGATGTTCGCCTTGCAGGGTGGAGCCTTCTTTTTTCTCGAGCACGTTGCCGCACAGCCGTCGACGTGGACATATTTCTTCCAGCACGTCCTGAAGCCTGTGTGCTACTACTTGGGTGATGAATGTGAGGTCACCCGGGAAACATGGACACATCTGGAGGCTGCCGGCTTCTCTGACCTCAAACTACGACATCTGAACGCGCCAATTATCTTCTTCAACAAACCACACATCATGGGCTATGGTGTAAAATAGATTTGTGGCCCCCCTCACCTGACACAAGAGGCCATCTATCGTCCATTGCCAGGCACTCTGATGTTTGTTTTATTTTTCTAATCAAGGGATTCAGAGCACTTTTTTTTTTTGGATGCACTACAAATCCTACTCATCAAATCTGTCTGTAACTCGGCTCTTTACAGTATAAGGCAATGAAGCATATTTGCAAATACGTCCTAATGGAGGCCACACATGTAGAATGTGATTTTTTTTCCTCCTCAGCCAATAAGTGAAGAGAGTTAACAATAATAATGTAAATAAATGAATGCAGTATCTTTTACTGGACCCTGCGGCTGATTTTGGGGGATAAGCAGGGTACACCCGGGAATGTTGAAGGATGTACCGCAAAAAAACTCGAGAACACCTCCGAACTGTGAAGCAGGCATCACGTAACATTTCTCATTTGCACCCTGGATCCCCGCACTCTCATTTGCTGCATGGCAAGCAAGAGGGCCACGGATACACCGTATGTTACCCTGTGTGCTGTATATTTGTTGTTAAAATATTGTGTTTCAACTAAGTACTTTATGTCTTCACACTTTTGAGGTTTTTAAAAGGAGGCCATGGTATAAGCAAAGTCACATCATTCAAATTTCATGGATGCTTCAAGACCCCCCAAAAAAATCAGCGGTAATTGCACTCACTGAGGCGGATTTCAATGCTCACTTTCTATCTCAACTTCAGAACTTTTCTAGATTCAATCCAGACACTTTGTATTCACAATGAGTAGACTGGTTGTGTGACAACAGAGAGATTATTTTGAAGCCAAAGCACTTTTGTCCATACTCTTATTTTTTTATTTTTATTTTGAAGGTGGGCAACGCAGATTTGTTGGTATGTCTCGTAACAATCGTTGTGGATGCTAGCTTGACTTGGTCTTTTACTACGAAGGCTGGCCTGACGTCAGTAAACAAACAAATAAATAAATAAATACAATTTGAAATCCTGTCAAAATTTAGTTTGTGTTAACAGTGATGGCAAGGTGCTATCGCGTAGTTAGTGAAGCGCGTCACACATGAGGCGATTAGTTCGTGAGTAATCTCTTAAGAGGCATTATTTTCTTTCATTCTCGCAAGTCTCTCAAGGGATGTTAAGTCCCATCAAACATGAAGTCTTGTCTCTTGAAAGCGTGCAGGTTCCTTTGCCTGTTCTTGATTTTGCCTTTGCGACTGGCGGATGCAGTGGGTTTACGCGGCGTCTACAAACGTCTCTTTCCACTGCTCGTCTACAACATCACATTTTCGTATAACGACAAAATGAACCGCGTGAAGAAGGAGCTCTTCCGGAACGTGTGCGGTTTTGCTAACGGAGACGGTTCGCTCCGCCTACTTGAGATCGGCTGTGGCACCGGGGCAAACTTCCAGTTCTACCCGTACGGATGCACGGTGCTCTGCGCGGACCCCAACCCGCATTTCGAGACTTACCTGCGGAGGAGCATGGACGCCAACAAGCACCTGAGTTATGAAGCCTTTCTGGTTACCTCTGCGGAGGACATGAAGGAGCTGGATGACGAGTCTGTGGACGTGGTGGTGTGCACGTTGGTGCTGTGTTCTGTCAGGGACGTGAAGCTGGTTCTTCAGGAGGTCCGGCGTGTGCTGAAAACTGTGAGCGTCAGCTGCTGCAAGAAATCCAGTTGTCACATGAAGTCTTTTTTTTTTTGTAACTGGGCAGAAGTTTATCACATTTGGCATTTTAAACATTTTTTTAGAACACATTTAAAAATACTGCTTAAGAATGAAATCACAAGCCATGCACACACTGTTTAAAAAAAGTCAACAAAAGCAAAACAAATAAAGCACAAATCATGACTTAATGGAGACGAAACAGGCAAGCCTGCTTGAACGACTTCCGTGTTTAATTAACTTGAGCATTTTAAATATTCATATGCAAGTCTGCATGTTTAAAAAAAGGGAAAAAATTGTTTTTCAATTGAGTTGTATAGATCATGGTGGAAATACCGCTGAAATTATTTAGCTCTTTCAAAAGGGGTGTGTAGACTTTTAAAAACACAGATGGACTAACAGAAAAAAAAACATAGCAAGATTAAATAAAAGTAAAATAAAAGGAATTTTAGAAATTCCGAATAGAGTTTAGACCAATAATTTGCTGTGATCGCTGCTCACGGTCTAATTTTTTTACCCAGAGCTAAATACAAATTTAGCCAAGATATTTGGTGCATCTTTGCAAATGATCTACAAAAAAAATAAGATTGAACCGTCATCATGCTAGTAATTAAACAATGAATCATGAATTGTTTCAAATATTCTGTATTAGTGGGGTCATAACCTTTTTGAAATCAAGGGCTAATAATGATTCATGTGAAAGGCTCAGTTTGATACACACTTGTGAAATAACACATTTGCTCCAATTCACCTTTAACGTTATTTTATTATCAAAAATAGTGAATATTCATTTCCGTGAAGCCACTCATCTTGTCAATGATTTCTCATGATGATTAGCAATCAGAATAATGTCAGGATGCAACACTTTTTCATATTGGCCTTTGCCAGTGTTTCCATTTGAAAATGGTCATTTTTCCAACACTACTAGACAATCACTATGTCCGAATTAACCAATACGAATACCAATAATCACCCCAGTGGCCATCAAATTTGAATATTCATTTCCGTGAAGCCACTCATCTTGTCAATGATTTCTCATGATGATTAGCAATCAGAATAATGTCAGGATGCAACACTTTTTCATATTGGCCTTTGCCAGTGTTTCCATTTGAAAATGGTCATTTTTCCAACACTACTAGACAATCACTATGTCCGAATTAACCAATACGAATACCAATAATCCCCCCAGTGGCCATCAAATTTGATTTTTTTTTTTTGAATGTAGAAAACAACCGCAGTTTTTCCACTATCTTGACACTGAATAGTCCGAGTGGTTTGATTAACCTGTCTGTCAGGCTGCCATCAACACGAGATTACCTTAAGGAACAATAAAAAACAGATTTCTGACTGCCTTCTACAGACAAAGCTCAACTTTATTTCATTCATTGATGGCCTAAATTCTGTTTGCATCAATGTCTATTCCAGCTGACTCTGTGTGAGAGATGTGGGGGGGGGGGGGGCATCTTCGACTGGAGGTAATGTCAGGACTGACAGACACGTTCATTCATACCCAGTGCCAAATGTAGTCTTCAATGCAACCAAAATCTTTGTTTGCTTTGGACCGTGGCACAAAAATCACACAAGCACAACATGAATTCAAAGGATCAAAAACATTTGGTTTCGCAATATAGTATTGTGATGAAGAAAAAAAAAAAAAAGTATAAACACTATTGTATTTGTCTTCCAGGGCGGAGCCTTCTACTTTCTGGAACATGTGGTGTCAAAGCCGTCAACTTTCATCTTTTTCCTCCAACACACCATTGAACCTTTGTGGTTCTATATTGGAGATGGCTGCGTGATTACAAGAGCGACATGGAAAGATCTCGAGTCAGCTGGCTTTTCTCAGCTCCACCTTAACCACTTTGAGGCGCCGGTGACTTCAGTGATACGGCCCCACATTATGGGCTATTCCATCAAGTGAAATTTCAGACTATTCTCATCCCGAAAGTTATAATCTATATTCAACAAACAAACCTCTGAGCATTTTATCCACCCCACTATTCAATTCTACACACAAAAACTTTGGTAAGCAGCAAATCATTTGACTCCAAAATGCTCATCTTGACGAATACACCGATTTATTTATTTATTTTTTGGTTGTCGATACGTTTTGTATGACTTTCTGATTTTTTTTTTTTTTTTGGTTGTCAATACGTTTTGTATGACTTGACTGAAAAAAACGGCCCCTGACAGTAAAAAGTTGCCTGGCCCTCGCTGAGATGCTCACTTCTGTCAAAAATGATGAGCAAATACAGTGTGAAAATATATATTATTTACTTACATAAACAGCAACATTTCATACACTGTTCCACAGCCCCCTCCCCTTTCCATGAGGAAAGAAAATGTCACCCTCTTAGACACTGTGCAAAAAAAAAAAACGTGGTCCAGATTGTCTAAGACAGTAAAGGTCAATGAACAATCACACAATATTTCGTTTACCCTTTATATCCCTTTGCACAAAGATAAGGAATGAAAACTGTAACATTTCCTTATTGGGAATACCAGAAATTTCTGTGCAGCAAACATGTTCTCATCGAACTAATACAGTCAATTCTGTAAATGCTGTTGGTAGAAAAAAAGAAAAAAAAACACACACACCCCAAACAGCATTTTTTTAAACAAGAACATTTAGAAATTCAACAACAACTTTTAGAAATTGAGAGTCAAAAAAAGCAAAAGCTCATCATTTCAAACCTCCCAGTTTAAAAATATACACAACTATAAATGTTATAGTATTAGTTAATAAAAAAAAAAAAATAGCTGGAAAAAGTCCAAATTCTTTTTTTTTTTGTTTAGATATAGGTATATATCATTGCTATATCGAGCCGAGTAAAAAGATCGTGGATCTCAACCTGAAGCGTTCCCAGAAACATGAGCGTGTCCAAAAAAAAAAAAAAAGCCGAGAGCGGTTCCCGCTGACACACAGTCTCTGCACCTGCGCAGTTTATCCCGTTTTCACGCAATAAAGTTCCTTTAAGCTTTTGAGTTCCTCAATCAGGGTTTTGTTTTGGTTCTCAAGCACTGCCACTCGATTCTCAAGGCATTTGACGTATTCCTTTTTCTTCCGCCGACACTCCCGGGCCGCTTCCCTGTGACGAGCGAGAAGGGGCAAAGTAGTAAGTCCAACTAAAAAGATCCCCCCCCCCCACCCATCTCAAAATAAGCAGTGACCAAATGTATATATTTTTGTTTTGGTGGTCATTTTGCTGGAAGATGAAGTACCTGTTTTTTGCAAGCCGAATCTCCCGCTTCATAGTTGGATCCTCGCTTTTGCTCTGAGGCAATCCCAGAGACGAGGCCATCACCAAGGCCTGGGGTAGTGAGCCTGACGTGGGCGTGGAACGAATCTGGTACGTTTGCACTTCTCCCCCTGCATCTTAGAAAAACAGCAGCGTGACTGTGGTGACTCGTGTGACGGCTTAAGAACGGCTGACATTTTTGGCACGCTGGCGCGGGATGCAAACAAATCGTTTGAATACTTCATCCTAGGAAGAAATCAATCAACAATTCATTTTCAGATTATGGTAATGCAATCAGCTGGGGAGGTTAATTCAATCATTTTAGTGATTAATTTAAGTTTTCAGGAAAACAAAAAAATTTGAGCAGCTTCAGTTCAAAGCGCAGCCTCGCTGATGTGCACTGCTTTCACTAACACAGTAGTTTTTAATCTCGGTGAAAGTCGTGAACCCTGCAACTTTTGGACATGTGACCTTTTTTTCTCCCCTTTTTCAAATTCAAACCAGGTACAGAATGTCTCGGTGCACAAAACGAACCAGGCCCAAGCTGCAAACCAAATCACTGTTCAAAAACAAAACCGACCGATTCAGAATTTTACTCCAAAACCAAACGCAACGCATGCTGACTGCAAATCAATGGGAACGTTTGCTTCCTGCGAATGTTTGTTCAATGCGATCTCACTTGCAGCGCTAAGTTCGGAAATGCGCAACTTCAACGCGCTGAATGTCACTCAGATCATTTTCACAACAAAATTTGTTTCTCTTGAATTCTTGTCGACCACCCTCAAAAAAGGAGTGCTTAACAGAGATACTTTGTGTATTTAAAGCGCAAGTCAAAATGTTCTGTTTGCTCACAACTAGTCTAAACACGGCATTCTGATTCTCTATTGCATTTGTGGAATAAGAATTAAAGACACGAATCCACCCGGTTTTCAACCATCAGCCACTGCCACCTGCAGTCAAATGAAATCATGGCTCACCCTGTACAACCACCTGGTTACTTGGTACCAATATCTGCTGGCCGTCAGGGGTCTGAGCATACTGGAGGATCGTCGTGCCCTGCTGGCCTCCGGTAGGGTTGGCCATGGCAACCTGAAGTTCCTGAATGCCATCAGGTCCGGGATTCGTCAACTGGATGGTTCCATTCGGAGTTACGGTAACTGGATTAAGCACAAAACATTTGCAATCAAAATCAGGAAACGTCTTTTGCGCAGTCGAGCTGATGTGTTGTGCAGTAGAGGAACATTTCATACTATACTGGCCGGTGGTGGTCTGATAGATGGGGGCGGGTATGGTGACGCCCGTCACTCCCGTGGTTGTCGAGCTGTCCTTGCCCTCGCTGTGCGTGACGCCCTCCGATGAAAGTTCATTTAGGATTTTTCTAACGAGTGATGAACAAAGGAGCATCAGACAATGAAGCTCTTCTGACCGATCGTGTGTCGAGTGGGAGGGGCTTTTGGCTTTCTCACCTGTATGACGGTCGCCTGGCCAGGAGCTCTCGGGTCTTTTGCGGTGTGGTTCCACTTTCTGACGAATCCTGTGAATCCTCACTATCTGAACCCTTTGGCAGAAAAGTGTGGCAAGTCATCAGCACTAAGATTCAGAACAAGACTAATGGTCTGCTCGAAACCAGTACTCCAACTCCCTCTCTCTCTCCCTCTCCCTCCCTCCTTCCCTCCCTACAACAAAGAGGATGCAGTAAAGGGGTTGAGATTGAACGACTGTCTGTGTCTTATGTGTTGTGTTGTATTATTTTGTTATTTTGACTTCAAGATGGCGCTGCGAGAGTGGCTGCCTTTACAGCAGCTCCTATATTTTGTTCTTCTACTTCTTCCTTACATACCTTTGCTGCGGTGAATTGGGAATTTCTCCATTGTGAGACTAATAAAGGTTTTCTGATTCTCTCGCTCACTCGCTCGCTCACTCACAGTGCCATATTAAAAACCTCATGATATCATAGAAGGCCTTTGCAAAATCATAACGGACATAGTGTTATTTTCATGCCACAGTAAACGCCGTTCACTAGGTATGGGCCGGAAGTGAATGACATGCACGGTGGGCAGAATACTCTTCTCTGTGAAATTACATTCTTTATCTATCCTCTCGGGTGCACATTAACCCTTTCAGGGACAGCGGTTACTCCAGTGGACAGCTTATCATGTTATCAGGTTACCGTTATTTGTGCCTGAAAGGATTAAGATGCAACATCTGTCAGTGTGTGTGCATTTATGTTGATAAGGTGTACATTCGTGCTTAGACGGCATTATAGGTGTGTTGCTGCCAAAATGGAGACATTTGCCAACTCAATTTGGGCGCAAGAATGACTGCACGGCTGACACAAAGTTACTCAGTAGGTATTGCATCTTTTTCCGTCCTCTCATACTCCCGTTAAGATGCAATGTCCGCACGTACAGTATATATGTCGAAGAGGATTCTATTCCTGCTTAGTGTGCATTATTAGTGCTAAAATTGGCATTTCCCGTTTCAGATGAACTCTTTCTGTACTGTACAGTCCATCATATATTTCAAATGCAATTTTTACATGTTTTGACGTATGAGAAAGACAGTCTCTTTTTTTGTTCAAGCAATCACTTCCTGGCAAAGAAAATGACTGGGTCGAAGGAATTTGATTTTACGCTAAAGGAAATCCATGCCTGTAACTTCATTCATTATACTGCTTCTGTACTGCTGACATTTAGAGCCTAAATTTAAAGACAAACTCGTCAGTTGAGGTGTCTTTGCATGTACTTGAAAATTCCTCTCTGGTGTAAATTTTAACAAATACAAAAGTAAAGCTAAAAAAATACAAATCAATCAAATCTTCAACCTGTGATTCATATGTTGAGTTGATAGAAGAATTAAGGGTCCATAAAATTTTCTTTGGTAAATAACCGGCCAACTGATCGGATTATCAGATTTTTTTTCCCCACCAAATATCAAAATTGCGTCAGCCTAAATAAATAAATAACAATAAAATAAATAAATAAAACGGAGCAAAAAACGTATCAGTCGGGCCCTAGATCAAGTTACCGGTGTACTTATTCAAATCTTCCTATCTCTGTTTTTAAACTACCAGTTTTAAAGCATATGTGCGAATAAAAAACAATTCCAACAAAAATATTCCAACAATTTTTACTGAGCATTACAGCAAATGTAGAAATTTACAAACTACCAATGAAGTGTGGAAATCAAAAAAAACTTATCACCATGATCGACCTGAAATTTAGAATGATCACTAATCATGATCATAACAATCGCTGCTCGTGCGCACAGAAGTTTGACCGAGTCTTTATGCACTCCCAAATTTGTGATTTTTGGTATCCCGAGTGATATTTGACGCCCTTCACCTCAAGACACGAAATGAACATTTCATAAACAATGAATGAAGTAGAACGTAACTTCGTGGTAGCAATTTTACATCGGCCACTCATTTACGGCACTGCTGGCGGAGCGTGAATGGAAACGGCATGACAAGACGCGGAGCTTAGCGGACAACCAAGTGGAAACTCAGCCCAAAGAGTTGGCGCTGAAAAGAGGAAAAACAAAATGCCACGGTTTGGTTTCTTGCAACTCGGAACATGTCTTTTTTTTTTCTCTCTCTATGAACTAAAGACAAAACAAAAGAATTGTACAGAGACAGCGTGGAGTTGCAACAAAGCAGCAAAGTTATATAAAAACCACAAAGTGAAGAAATAAAAAAAGTGTGTGTGGGGGGGGGGGGTCTTTCAACCATACAGTTACGCATCAGTTTGTTTCCAGCCTGTTACTTGAAGTACTTTGCGGTTGTTATTTAATTGTTTGTCCTTCTTTCCGTTCCTTGAAAAGTGGTGCCAGATATTTTGGTCATTTGGTGTCCTTTCCCATTTGATTTATTTATGTATCTGTCTTT